GCAAGGCTGACCTCTTTTCGAACTTGTGGGTCAGAATCCTCCAGAATCAGTTTCTTAATGATCACTTTTGAAAAGGTGTTCTGGTAGAAGATATCCAGCGCANTCTCCTCCGCTGAGCGATTGGCATTTGCGGTGATTATGTTGATGTTCACTGTAGAGGCTTCCTCAAGAAAGCTCAGGAGTAGACTAAGGAACTTAGGAATAATACCACGAAGATTCCTGCCTTCACTAGTGGAGCCAAGACATAAGCGAATGAAGGCAAGGCTGACCTCTTTTCGAACTTGTGGGTCAGAATCCTCCAGAATCAGTTTCTTAATGATCACTTTTGAAAAGGTGTTCTGGTAGAAGATATCCAGCGCAGTTGAATCAGTGTAGCACCACGATGTAAAGAACGAAAGGTTGAAGATGACTACCTGAGCGCGAGAAGAGATTGTTGTCTGGTAGAATAGTTTCAGTTTGCTGTTCTGCGTAATGAACTTCAGAATGGAAAAGAGAACGTTCATCAACCGTTCCTGATCGTCAATAAGTGCANGCGCGAGAAGAGATTGTTGTCTGGTAGAATAGTTTCAGTTTGCTGTTCTGTGTAATGAACTTTAGAATGGAAAAGAGAACGTTCATCAACCGTTCCTGATCGTCAATAAGTGCGATAAAGTTCGAGTTGAATAGAAGAATGTTCTTCTCCAGTGAGTTCTTTCGTGTTCGCTTATTTTTCCGCGAACCATCCGAATTATAGCCCATGCTGCTGCTTTCCCGTTCACTAGATAATAAAGAAAGTTACAAATAGTTCAAGATCAAGAGATAAAAATCAGGAAATAGCATTCATACCTCATTTTATCACAATCATATCGAAGGCTTTCAAATTCTCGGTAGCTTGAAGTCGCAAAATGATAGATTGTCTGCAGTAATGTGGAGACACAGTCCTGTTTCCACTCGGTCCACTCGTGTTTGTATTTTGTTGTCTCCACATTGACAATGAATAGATTGTAAAGAAACTGCAAACCACCTGTTTTGGTGAAAACTCCAGGCCAGCCATTTTTTCCTGCCTTCCGAAGGTTGTCAACAATGTGACAGCTGTAAATGAGCTTTTGATTTGAATTGGAAGGAAAGATTCGTTCAAAAATATGCTTAAATGTTTGAGGCGTCTCAGCATGGTCATTCAGGTCGTCTTCGCTAGATAGACTTTCTGAGTACAGTTGCGAGAGAAGATCAAAGCGATCCAGAATATCGGTAGATGCGGGCAGTATTTGGACAATTTCCCAAATGTTCCTCGAAAGAATGCGTGCTTTCAAGTTGGAAATATTAATCATGTCCAGCTGCTGCACCAAGATGAAGAGTAGCTCAAAGTTGTGCGGCTCGAGCAAGAGTTTATGCGAGTTTTGCAATTTGAAAGAGTCGAAGAATTCACTTGAGCTAGACAGCGTAAAGAGATCACATGATTTTGAGAGCGGGTTCTTGCAAGTGTGAAAAGATATCTGATTAACGTGACTATCTTTAAACACATCCCCAATGCGTTTTTCGTCATATTCAAAGGGAATTTCTTGCTCTGAAATGAAAGAAAAGCAGATAAGCAAAGATGATCAAAGATATCAAAAAGACTACCTGTTTGCTGATGAACCAGACAGATCAGCGCTTCGGGAACGGTAGCGTCCTTGTCAAAGCTACTCGACTCCAGGATTGACTGCCACCAGGTTTGCACTTCGGCACGAAGCTCTCCAACACAGTCCGTGGATGACATTTCAATTAGCTTTTTGTCAGAAGAGTACGGCGAAATAATGTAAAAGTTGAGAGTGTTGTCAAGCCTTTCACGAGCACGATGACAGTACAGGTCAACATCTGAAGCGAGTTTCAACTTGCGAAAGTAGTACGAGTAGCGGTTGTAGAATACCTCCAAATGAGTCTTCAACATGATGACGGCTCGCTCGATGAGCACCAGGCTCTTATCACAGTTGATGGGCAGCAGAACTGATGCGTCCTTTAGATTCAACATACACTTCTGAATGAACTCCTCTTCCTTGTCGAACTTGTTGGTACTGTTTAGCAGGCTAATGTAGTGCTGATTCAAGTGGCGTATTGCGGCCATGGAAACTTCGGTGTCGGGATTTTTAAAAGCAACAGCCCAAACTAAATTTATCACGTCTTTGACAGTAGAGGCGTCAATGCAGTTTTTTGAAAAGAAGAACCCGTGCAAGTGCTGGAGAAGATCAAGTGAGGTGAGCGAATACGATTCAGGGCGAAGAAGTGGCATTTTTTCCACGAGAATGTACTTAATAATATCAAGATTTATACCATTACTTTTCCCTTGATCTGTGAGAAATGAAAGTATACGCCAGTTAGACGACAAAATATTCCAGTGAAATCGCGCCATACTTAGGAGCCAGTCAAAGAATTCATCAGCAATCTCTGGATAATTGCACGTGGTAAATACGTCCCAGAGAATGTTGACATGCTCCTGGGAAAATGAGAGATTTTCATGAGATGGCCCGGCGTACATGAAGATATAACTCAAAAAGTTTAGGCGAATTTGAATCTCTTCTTTCTGGGTGCAAAACTTTGATTTAAGTGAGTCATACTCTGGCGAATCATTTTTGCAGCAGGACATGTAGAGAGTGAGATTGTTAAAAAAGGATTTGAGCATGCTTTGCTGTTTGTCGGCGTCAAAGATCAGTTTTCGCGTCATTCGCCCGTCTTGGTATGGAAAGAAAGAGGAAAACAACTTTTGAAGTAGACGAAACATAGTGATCACCGAGTTATTCTTTGCCAGATTTTCCAGTGCGGCATTAATGAACATGATCCGTATCTGTCGATTACTCGCACAACAGATGGTATTCCAGAAGATGCGGTCAGCTGCCGTGGCAAGTTCTTCAGTCAACTGGTTAAGCATGTCATCGTGAATTAAATCCCAGAGCAGTGTCTGACCGGGCTTGGTGACATCAGCAATTCTGAGCTCGTCGGTAATGCACTCGGTGGGCGGCGTCGGTAGCGGAGCCACCTTCTTGGCTTCAGCAATTCTTCTGGCAGCCAGTGATTTGGTATAGTTGTAGCAATTTTTAATCTCATCGCCACATTCGTACATTTCAAACGGCTCGATCTCATTGAAAGAGTTCTCTTCACCGAGATTGTTTGGAGTATTTTTCGGAGACTTTACTTTCTCTTTCTGAAACTTGGTTTCATCTTGAGATTCATTTACTGGAACTTTGGGAAAGGAACTCATAGAGGTGTTTGGCTTGTATTCGTCTATTTTAAAAGGGTAAAATGGGTCAACAATGAAAGCAGACACATAATGATACCTTACCGCCTGAAATATGAGTTGGGGAGTCCATTTTAGGCTTTCGGTGAAAGTTTCGTGGTAGCTTGTAGGAGGGTTTCTCCTTCGGCAAATCGCTCAGCTCGTCAATATCACTTTCTGATGTGCTGCCGCTACTTTCATCACTGTTTATCTTTGAAAGGGGTCCTTTGTCGATGCAAATGCGACTACTGCCCATGTCCATTTCAAAGTCCTCCTCATCTTCCTCGTCTTCGCTCACCTCGACTGAGCTGGCGGACGAGCTGTTCTCCTTACTAGGCGGATCACGAAGGTAAGGGAACACTGTGTGAGAGCCTTTAAAATTGGAATCCTCTCCAGTCATTTCTTTGTCGCCGGCACCGTAGTGAGATGCTGGCTGAATGTCTGGCTGAACTCCACAGTGTGACCATATGTACTTGGTGATCTGCGATGCCAAGTTCAGCGTTTGTTCAGAGTGATGGCTCGGCTTGATGGTCCAAAGAAGTTTGTACAAGTACAAGACAGTCTTAAAGTTCAAGTTCTTAACAAGCGTACAGAGAACTTCATAGACGAATCGCTCGTAGTGCTTGATCTGTGCCGAGCTCCAGATGATATCAATGTGTTCGGTGGTAATTTTAGGAGAGATTGCCGAGAGGACGTAGTGACTTTGCTTGATCACTTCAACATGCAAATTAGGGCCAAAAATGTTCTCCAGTAACTTGTTTTCGAGAATCCATTGGCTCATCTGTTCACTAAGATTCTCCCCGTTAGAATCTAGGTAAAAACGGAAAACAGGTAAAATATAGGTAAAACAATTCTGCGAATAAGCACTTGACTTACTTGGGTTATTCGTCAAATCATTGTACATGGTGATGTAGTTGTTCATCTGAGCTATGCCACCCAGACGCATCGTCAAAGTTGATGAGTTGAAGTACTTGAGGGCCGTCTGCAGTCCATCTTTGTCTATGCTGTCACAGTTATTCATGGTGAAAGGTTGGCTCGGGCGTTGTGACGCGGCGATGGGACACGGCCAAGTTGTAGGCGGGAATGCCACCGGTGATTATGATTGCACTATTTAAGATGGAGCGGCTTTTGGAACGACACTCGGAAGAAAGCTGACATCGGTCTCATCATCTCAAACTGCAGCAGCAGCACCAGCGGAGCTGTCTGCGAGCCACTTGCGAGTGCAAAACAGAAGCGCCAGTGGCGCCGCCAGTGGCAACACCTGCATTCTTTGACGTCGACTGATTTTTTGCCCGGACCTGAAATGCACATGAAGTCACATTCTCTGTGCTTGGCAAAACTAACAACGGTAAGAATAAAGGAAAAACTCCGTCCCTCGTAGAAAAATTCCAGTGAGGGACCACTAAAAAGTTCTTTAACATTTCAAAAGAGTGCCAACAAGTCAGTCTACTTTGTCGTTGTTCGGTAAATCTTTTAATTTTAAAAATCCTGCTCCATAGAGTTACCGAAGAGAAAAAAGATCAAGTTGCCTCTAAAATTACAACCTGTCACAAAAAATCTAGATGTGCAAAAATTAGAGCCACATCTGCTAAAAGTAAAAAGTTCTAAAATGTTATTTTCTGTTTGCTGCTTCCGAGCAAACCTTTGAGAACCCTCCTCTGATTAATCACAATACCCCGATTCCAATATTCTTACATCTTTATTATTGAAAGTGTGTGCGTCTTATAGATACATTGATTTAAAATATAAATAATATAAAAAGGGCATGAGTGTGCTAAAAACGAGCCACACCAGCAACACCGGTGTTGTTGTTGCCGTCGGTTCCACCGTTGAGGGCTTCCCGTTGTACCGCTTCGGCGGCATCAGCCGGTTCGGTGTTGGTGATGGTGGTGTTGGTGATGAAGCGCAGCTTGTGCAGGTACTGCGGACGGAGACGGCCGATGGGTCCTTCGATCTCCTTGATGATGTGGTTGCCAGTGAACATGTCTGCGAGAAGGGGAAGTTAGTTAGTTGTTTAGTTTTACTCCATTAGTAGCATTCTCTACTCGTAGTAGCACTTACATTTAAGATGGTACATCAGGTCGCAGATGTTGTCAAAGTAGTTGAAGCGTGCAATCTTCTTGTCGATTATCTCCAGCATCTCGTACAGCTCCACGGTGATGTCCATGACGGTTCGGGTGCGCTCGTTGCAGAGGCGATTCAGCAGCGGCCCTACCAGGTAGCAAATGAAGAGGTACTGCTCCTCCGTCTGGATGATCGGCTTGACGCGCTCCTTGAGGAACTTGTGGACGATGCAGACGCGACCGATGGCGTCGTGGCTCCAGAAGACGTACACGATCGCCATCAGGTAGCTGATCTCGCACTCGTTCACGTAGTGGTGGTTGTTCTTAAAGTCCGCCAGCTGCTGAATGTTGAGGCCGGCCAGCGCCGCCGGATTCTTCAGCAGCTCGATGATGCGGTCGTTGATGGCGGCGGTGAAGCCGTCCGGCAGCGAGGCCAGCACCATGGCGATGCCGTTGATCCACAGGTCAATGTCCTCCCGGGGCAGGCCCTGGTGGTTGTTCAGCACCACATTGAGCAGGGCGTTGCCCACGTCGGAGGCCTTGCACGGCAGCGCCATCAGCTCGACGCAGGTCACGTAGACGATGTGCGAGTGGGCGTTGGGGAACTCGTTGAATCGGTAGTCAGTGGGCGAGAGGGGACACTTCAGGTGGTCCTTCATCGTCTCCACGACGCGCCCAATCAACGCCAGGTAGTACTTGTCATCTGATCGGAGAGTAAGATAGGCAGGACGTGCGTTAGACAACAAACTTCTGTTTTACACTAAACATGTCATCATCTGCTCTTACCTAGCTTCCAGTCCTCTTCCTCCGAGCGTGCCTCCATGGAGATGAACTTCTCGGTGAATGCCCAATTGCGACCTCTCACCTCCTTCAGTGCATTGTAAATGGCGTACACCAGCTTCCGCTTGATGGTGTTCTTCACGCGCAGATTAATGTCGTAGTAGTGCAGTGTGTTGTAGAGGTACATGATCGGCTGATCGTGGAACTTGTACAACGCCCCGTTCACGGTCAGGATCGAGTGGGCCACCGCCTCGGAGACGCTCACATTGAGCGTCTTTGGACTCGGTCCTATTTCGATTATTCGGTGAATGATGACATCTGCAAAGAAACAAAAATTTAATGATTGATCTACGGCAAATCAATGATATAGTAACAAACCGAAAATTGGAAGTAACCGCAGACAAAGATTACTAAACATTGGCTGCAGCGTGGTGGCATTGGCGTTTCCTTGAACACTGGCCTCTTGCAGGTGCTTGAAGTAAAACTCTTCCGGATATTGCTACATGCGAAAAGAAGAGACAAAATTATCGTTTTGAAAATCATCAGATTTTCAAAGTAGTCCTTACACTGTGATAGGCTGCGTGCTTCTCCGCCCAGTTGGAGTACTTCCAGTGCTCCGGCGAGTTGTCCTTGACAAAGTCCCGCACCCGTGAGGTAAGCTCAATGTTGGGCACGTCCTTATCCGACCGGAGCAGTTGGTAGATGATGTAGAAGCAGATTTGCTGGTCAGAGTCGCTCTCAAAGTGTCGCAGCGCCAGACAGAGCAACAGTCGCTCCAGGGGAATGATGTTGTACTTCCAGATGAGATTACTCAGAGCGGTGTAGATCTGCGGCGACTGCTGCTTGGTCAGCGTAGAGTACACGTCCACCAGGCACTCGATGAAGGTGCGCATCTGCATGATCTGGCCGCGGACGCCAATGCGGTCGAGAATCTGGTAGACGACCGGGGTGATGGTCTCACTGTCGAGCGCCAGCTTGTAGAGGACGCAGTAGAAGAGCGCCCCCGGGGCGGAGAAGTGCTTCACCAGGTCGCCCTCATTGGTCATTGCCTTCCACTTGCGGTACTCCTCGTCCACTGCCAGGCGGAACTCCGTCTTGTTCGACGGCTGCTGTTGGTAGTTGTCCTGGTAGAACTTGGCCACCTGCAGGGGCAGGCAGTTCATGGTGAACTCCGGCCAGGAAAGGTTCAGATTGAGCGTGTTCCGCATGTTGGCGATGATGTCGATGGCCCAGCTCACCGAGAGCGCCTCCATGCCGGTAATGTGAATGGCGCGAGACAGCGTCAGGACGTACACCTTGTACAGCTCCTCCGATTCAATAGGGAGGAAGTTGAGCACTTCAAAGTTGTTTCTGAGCATCTGCGCGGAGAGGTTGAGAAAGTCGATAGAGTTGAAGCCGTTGATGTTCTTCAGTGCCATGTTCTCAATGCAGCCGTACAGCTGAACGTTGTTCATCTGAGAGAAGATGGTTTTGGAGAGGACGTTGCGAAGAATTTGCAGGCGCGTGAAGCAGCCAACCCGGTGCAGGCGATAGGAGAACATCTCGAGAAACTGAATTCAGGAACAGAAATAAGCAATTTGGTTGATAAAGGTAAAACTCAAGACTTACATTTAAAAGATAGTTCCAGCAGTGATACCGCAAAACAGTGGGCAGCAGTTGGTCTGTAAATAACCTGCATTAGTGATCTGCAATTGTCAGTACTCCGGTACTTACTCAAAAATGTCTTGATACTGAGCTGCTCATTTTCAGTGTACGACATCATTCGACTGTAGGTTTCCACAACTCCAGAGGACAGCGGTTGCTGAGACTTTGACTGTGCCAAGTTGTTAAAGTGGGTCATTATATGGGTAGTTAGGCTATTTGGTAAAAATATGCGTTAGAAAGTTATTTCTGGTCTGAATAATGAGGAATACTAACTTGAAACGAGAATGAACGGCAATGGAATCGAGAAAGTTCATGGCAATCGGTCCCTGATTTCTCGGCTGTTGCAGTGCTCCAGGAGTCGATCGTGAGCCGAGCATGTTCTCGAGAAAGCGAAACGCCGCAGTGTACCGCTCAGTGTTGGCCATGCAGGTATTGCACAGCAACACCACAATAAAGTCATTTGAAGGAGTAAAGCTTGGGTTTGAGATGAGCCCTTGCAGAAATTTGATGTGCTCCTCCAGGCCGATAGGGGGTGTACGGTTAAAGCGAACCTTATCATGTTCGGCCTTGATGCTGAGGAGAATCCACGATGAAGCCGCCGAGAGGATGTAGATGCAGTTGATCTTGTCTAAATCAGGCAAGGGAACGGCTGTCGTCTCCGGGTACAGCATGTCGTACATTCGAAATATCGACAGCAAATTGTCAAAAGGATGCTTGGGAATGTACCGAGAGAGCATCTGCAGCAGTGTCCACATGAAGAACTCACGACTCTTGATCAGATACTGGTTCGTCTTCTCTCTGCTCTGAAGCTCCTGCAGCCTGCCAGCTAGGTCGTTGAGGAAGCTGGGGAAGTGAATGTTCTGGTAGCAGAACTCGTAATAAATTGAGGAGGATGCAACGTTCTGCCACTGCAAAAACATCTGATGCGTTTCAGTGTCGCAGTTTTCCAGATTGTACTTTTCGAAATTGTCATTCTCCATGGTGAACTTCATCTGGCCACACTTGACAATGGTTCTGACGATCATCTCAACGAGCAGTTTCTCGAGAATGACACTGCGTTCTTTGGTCTTGCTAAAGGACAGCATATGAGCAATGGTCTCTCGAGAATGATTTTGCTCCATGATGAAGTAAAGCAAGTCCATTTGCGGCTCTTCAAGATCCATATCGTAGGGCAGTTGTCCCTTGTGCTTGTACTTGCCGGTAGCATTGTCGAGCTTAATGATGGTGGCTGCCAGGGAGTGGCCGACGATGGGAAACGTTGGCGGTCGTCCGTGGAAGGAGACCATATCGGCCACTGGGCGGAAGCTGTCGATGAAAGCAGCAACCAGCTTGGAAAATTTCTAAAAATAAAGTTCCGTTAGCTCTTGTCAATAGCAAAGTGCTACACACCCAATTGTTTTTGGACCACTTAATCATAACAGCCTTCTTCATGACTTCGTCGAGAATTAGGTATGCCGGTAGGAGAGACGTGTCCCGATCAAACATGTACTCTAAAACTTTGTACAGTGCATTAATCTGTCTACTCGTTGAGTTTGCTCGTGGCTTCATTGAAATCTGCGCCGTTTTGGAGAGTAAAAACCCAAGAGTGTCTCGAATACTTTTGTAGTTGATCAACTTGACGTTTCTTTGAATGCTCTGTAATCCATTCACCCAGAAAACTTCGTTGTGCAGATCAAAATCGTGTGAGACGACGATGCAGTGACAAAGAATCCTGGTTTACAAAAAAATCGTCTTTAGTCAAAGAAAGAAAACTTGCTTGATATTCTTACTTTGGTAATACCAGTTCCGATACGGCTGGATGAGACATTGTGAGAATTGCCGCTTCGAGAACTTCAAATAGCATGCGAGAAATACTGTAGTTGACAATTTTGCTGACCCTCTTCACGAAGAACTGAATCACATTCTCCATCATCTCCGGTGGTACGTTTTGCAGTATTTTCACCAGGTTGTCCTGGAGAATCTGCCTGGACATTTTATCCGATTCAATGGTGTTTTTGGTGAAACCGGCAAACGTCTCGTCCAGGACGTCGCATTCCTGTGGTAGAGAGGTAATGATTTGCTGAAGCAATGATGTCGGGAAAATGTAAAAATGATTCACTTACGATAACATTGTCCATAAACTGATTCAGGCGAAATTCTGAGTCCATGGTGAGGTTCAAGTAAATCACTCGATAAAGAATAAAAACAATGCAAAAGAAGCGACCACCACCAGCCGCAGAGTTTGATGGCCTCTGAAATTACAGTAGGGGCGCTGCAGTCCACAACAGTAGTAGTCCAGTGCAGCGCCAGTTGCATTCCAAGTGACCAGGCCAGGGCTCTACCTCCCAAAATGGCAAATCTTTATCTATTATCAGCAGATAAGAATGAACCACTAACTTAGGTAATTTCAGAGCTATTCATTTGTGCAAATAAAACGTTTGTAAATTGCGACTCGTAAATTACCGACAGTCAACTCACTGTAAACATCGTGATTAACATTCAGCGTCCAAACTTGCGTAATTTTTTTCTGTTGTTGTCCCACGTGTTTTGAAATAAAAACAGCGAACTCAGTGGTCATGTTCTGTTTGAAACGGTCACTTTTAGCCTACGTTTCGCCGGCGTTCACCTTTCACACTAGAAACTTGTCAAAGAGAAAAATGACGGACAAACTAGTATGGGTCGACTGTGAAATGACCGGTCTGGATGTCAACAAAGACCGACTGCTAGAGGTTGCCTTGATCATCACTGATATCGACCTGAACGAGGCAAGTTCCTTTTCCTGTTTTGATATATTCTCGCTGTGTAGTAACAGTTTTCTTTTTTACAACAGCTCGATTCCATTGACTCTCTGTACATTGGCACATCTAAACAAGTTCTCGATGCAATGCCCGAATGGCATCAAGAGCACTTTACCGCAAACGGTCTCATTGAAAAGTGTCTCAACTCAAAGCTAACTCTGGAACAAGTGGACACCAAACTGAGTGATTTTATGGTGAAGAATAATATTAAAACTGGAATACTTGCTGGTAACTCAATTGCCTTCGATCGTGAATTTCTAAAGAAGAACTGCCCCAAGTTTATGACCCATTTGCACTACCGAATGGTTGATGTCTCCGCTGTCAAAGTGCTCGTTAGTTCGTGGTACAAAGACACCACTTACTTCAACAAGCAGACTGAACACCGAGCTTTGAGTGACATTAAGCAAAGCATCGACGAGCTAAAGTACTACAGAGAGAATTACTTCAAGAAGAAATAGTTTATTATTGCTCGAATTATCGTTCCGCACAATCTCCTGTCCATTTAAATTCCACACTCATGCAAACTGGGACCTTCTTTGATTAAATTTTGCAGAAGTTTAGTATTTTCCGCTGACAGATTAAAATTGTTCTCTTCCAATTGATTCAGACTTCCGAAACCAGCGCAAAAGCCATTCAGTCGGCTAGCAATCGGTGAAGTGATGATTTGAGCGTCAGTCAGTTTAAGTTCCCTATTGAGCGAAGGGTACTTTCTAAAGAAGTACTTCTGATGATAGTTTTCGGCATTGTGGAAGACAGTGTACTGCAGCACTTCAGTCACTATGGGCGACTCAAACTGGCTGGAATTTTGCTTGACCCATTGGTTTATGTGCGTACGCTGACTTTCATCGTGATAAAAGATGGCTGAAATGTACTGCCTCTTGTACTTGATAGTCGGATCGTGAGACTTGAAGAAAATGTCCAGTAGTTTCTGTAGAAAGAACTGGTTAGTTATAACCTAAAGATTGTAGAATTCACTCCTAACCTCGTATGAGATTTTCCCTTCATCAAACTCCAAATCAACCGTTTCGATGTGGTCAGCGAGATTTCGATAGGTTGGGGCGGCACTGGCTCCACCGGCGTAGCCAACACGCGTAGTGTGAACTCCGGGCAGTGATCCAAATCGGGCCTCGGCGCCCCAAAAGCACTGCATTCCAAAGCTGGCGCGACTCAGTTGTTTGCTCATGATGATAGAGGTGGTGGTGGTAGTGGTTGTTCCTGGGTGTTTGCTGTCAAATGACGACCCAACGCGACAATGTCAACCCACTGATCAATGGCAGGGAGCAATTATTGCTGAGCAATATCGTGCCAGTTCGTGCCCACTTTTCCCTTATCAGGAGATAGTGTTAGATTGCCAATGAGCCAGCAAATAATGATCCCCTGCATCTCAATTTCAGTGCATCGTCGCTTTCTACGATTTTCGAAATCAAAGTTTTCCTGTAGCATCATCACCTATTTCAACAACTGGTCTCTTTTTCTTCACGTGTTTGCCGACCCGCATGCGAAGAAACATCGTCAAATCATCTGGCTTTTCATCTTTATCACCTTCTTTCAAATCTCTTTTTGAAGCAAAAATGTTCTCATTTTTGGCAAAGGTATGGAACTATTCTATCTTATTTTAAATCTATCATAAACAATCACTTTGCAGAATCGCTTTGTCGTCAATGGACTGCGAAACCTGAGCACGAAAGCTTCGCCGGGTAAGCGGTTGTGGTTCTTTTGGCTCTTTATTTTTTACAGCCTTATTTTTCTTCAGGAACTGAGTTTTCGACTCCTCGTATTCCCGACAATGCCAAATGCATCAACAAAGTGATTCTCCTTGGTCGATGCACCAGTGATGCCCAGTTGAAGCCAATAAACAACACACACTATACTAGTTTCATCATAGTTACTAATGACATTAGAAAGACGAAGAGCAACGAGATAGTCAAGCGCTCGGATTTTCATAAAGTCTTTGTCTATCAACCGTTCCTGGCCAAGAAAGCACACGATCTGATCACAAAAGGAACTCGAGTTTATCTTGAAGGCAAGCTCAACTATCGACGAGTGGAAAACACGTTTTTCTCCAATGTCGTTGCTGGTATGTTGACATATTTTATTCTCAGTCCTTTCGACAGCTAACCAATCTTTTCAAATCAACAGAAAAACTAATTTTTGTTTCGGGAACCAATCAAAGTTACGCCGAAGGCGATGAAGACTATGCCGAAATTGAGGAAGTCGACGAGACCTTCGTCGAGGATGGCGGCTCAGAGAAATCTCAAGTTCAGTCAAATTAACGAATTTCACAATTATTTACGTTTTTCCATTTCTTTGTGTGTAAAAGAATCCCTAGTTTGTATAGAAAAATTGCTTATTCAATAAAAGTCCTTTTGTCTACAGTCAAGTTTAAGATTTTAAAAGTTCTGATGATGATGATGGTTGATGAGGTAAGACACCGGTAGGAGCGCCACCGTCGCCCCTTAAAACATTCAACTGCTGTTTTGCAAATGTTTTGGCTGTTGTGCATCTTTTTTCTTCCTCCTTTTTGCGCCTCGAGCACACTGTTTACCGACTGAAAGATGCCTGGCGAAATTATCACTTTGCAAATTGGACAATGTGGGAATCAAGGTAAGATTGATTGATTCATCTGCTGATGACAACTGTGTCCTGTGCCAATGCTGACTCATTCTTGTATTCTGGTTCTCTCTCCTCGACAGTGGGCTTCGAGTTCTGGAAGAAACTCTGCAACGAACATGGCATCAACGCCGAGGGCCAGCTGGAGTCCTTTGCAGAGAAGTCGGCCATCGAGCGCCGGGATGTGTTCTTCTACGAGTCAGATGACAAGCACTACATACCGAGGGCAATCCTCATGGACCTGGAGCCGCGAGTCGTCAACAGCATTGTGCACAGTAAATACTCCAAGCTGTTCAACAACGAGAACATCTACATCTCAAAGAACGGCGGCGGTGCTGGCAACATCTGGGCGTCTGGTTACTCGCAAGGCAAACTACTCAGCGAGGAGTTCTTTGAGATTATTGAACGCGAGGCCGAGGGCGCCGATTCACTGGATGGCTTCATTCTCTGTCACTCGATCGCCGGTGGCACGGGCAGCGGCATGGGCTCCTACGTGCTCGAGACCATTCAGGACCGCTTTCCGAAGAAGATCATCCAAACCTACTCAGTATTCCCTAGCCAGGAGGAGAGCAGCGACGTCGTCGTGGAGCCGTACAACTCTCTGCTCACCCTTAGGCGATTGACGGAGAACGCTGACTGCGTGACGGTGCTCGACAATGCCGCCTTGAATCGCATTGCCGTGGAGAAGCTGCACATTGAAAATCCGAAGATTCTCCAGACAAACTCTCTCGTCTCGACGATCATGTCCGCCTCTACCTCCACCTTGCGCTATCCTTCCTTCATGAACAACCGCCTCGCCGAACTTATTGTGCCATTGATTCCCTTTCCTCGCCTGCACTTCCTCATGACGGGCTACACGCCGTTCACCACCGAAGCGGAGAACCACAGCGAGGTCACTTCAGTTCGAAAGACCACCGTAATGGATGTGATGCGGCGTCTCTTGGACGACAAGAACATGATGGTCTCGACGCCCATTCAGACGAAGAATGACAATCACTGCTACATCAGCATACTGAACATCATTCAGGGCGAGGCCGATCCGGTGGAGGTGAACAAGAGTCTGGCCCGAATTCGCGAGTCAAAGCGAATACCGTTCATTCAGTGGGGCCCGGCGAACATTCAGGTGGCTCTCTCCCGCAAGTCGCCCTACATACAGACGTCAAACAAGGTCTCGGGTCTTCTCATTGCGAATCACACTTCCATTGCTCACGTAAGTCAACAGCTAGCTAGTCAAATGACCATTTTACTAATCGATTTCTTGTCTCAATGCCTTTAGCTGTTTGAGCGAATCGTCGCACAATACGACAAGTTGCGTAAGCGCGGCGCTTTCCTGGATCGTTTCAAGAACGAGGAGATCTTTTCCAATAATCTTGACGAATTTGACGATTCGCGCGTCATCGTTCAGGAGCTGATTGACGAGTACAACGCCGCATCAAAGCCAAACTACCTCGAACTTGCTCTCTACAAGTAGCCGCCGCATCATTGCCAGCCAAATTTTTCACGCACACACCCACACACCCAAGCACACTTTTCTAATTGTATTATACTCATTTGCAAAGGTTTTGTTTGCTTCACAGCTGAAATAACAGTCTTATATTTTCCCGTTACGATAATGCAAGTGAGAGTGTCCTTTTGACAGTTGTGATGCTGCCGTCTTATCGCGGCGGCCGCCCAAGGCGCCAGACTGATTCGGTAGCCAGACTGCACGACGTTTACGAGCGGCTGAAAACGCATGCCTGTGCTCGGCAAAGCATTTTCAAAAGCGTCCCTGCGCACTCATTCGCCCACACCGATTCCCCTTGACCGGCACACTTCTGACCCCTCTGAAGCGGCCACCGAAAAAGCAACAAAATCTGAAACAATGTTCCGTGCTCTGGCTACCCGGATTCCCAAGTCGATCTGCTCGGTAATTACCTCAGCATTTATTGTTTTAGCAGTAGTGTTGTAACTTTTGTTTTCATTCACTGCCGGCAGATCAAAACTGAAAGCCCGCTCCAACCGATTGGCTGCCTTCGCAAGATCAGCAGCGACAGCGAGTCAGATGAGCGCACCGTCTTGGAGAATGTGGATACCTTCAAGTGCATGAACAAGGTGACGCTGCTGGGTCGAGCCACCAGTCAGCCGTCTTCACATACCCTCAATAACACCGAGTTGGTCTTCTTCACGCTGGCTACAAATGAAATTCGCCGCAATCGAAACACAAACGAGCTTATCAAGCGATCAGAGTTTCACCGAGTTCAAGTCTTCATCCCTCGTCTGGCTAACAAGGCCAAGCAAGTCATTCAAAAGGGTTCGAGAGTTTTGGTTGAGGGCAAAATCAACTACAATGTTAAGAAGGGCGACAGTGGGAATATTCACTTTACCAACATTGTTGCGGGTAAGGCAGAGAGTCGCACTAATCTGGCAAACTTCAGAAACTAAAATTCTGTTTTAAATTCACAGAAAACATCGTCTTTTTCACCGGTACCCGTGCTCGCGGTGAAGAACTTGACATTGAGGAAGAAGCTGTCGAGTCAAAGCAATAAGCCGCTAACCAGGAATCTGTTTACTGCAGGCGTTTGCATCAATTTATTGCCATTAGTGTTTTCGTACACATTTGTTTAATGCGCGTTGCGTCATTATTATAACAATTTTTTACATGTAGAATACTTATTGAAAATTATTATTAAATCCGAATCAGTTGCTCTAAAAGACATCTAGATCACATTCAAGCATATCACAGTAGAGCTCAAGATGGAGCTCTTTGAGAGTATCAATGTAGTTGTCTACGTCAGCTTGCAGTTCCAATTCTTCTGATGTTTTTTGCCGATCACTCGAATCAACTGGCATTGTCAGCGTCCGCCTCGCCAGGTAAGTCTTGTAGTACGGTCCCAGGTGATCGAGAGACTCGACGAATGCGAATGCGTTTGCACGAATCAGTCTTCGGTAGGCGATGACAAGGTCGAGGTGTCTGCTCACCTGTGCGTGCTTGACCAGACTTTGCACGTGAGTAAAGAGCTCTCTGTTGACGCGAATCTGCAGCGACGATGCCTGGCTCAACTTGCTCTGCACAAACCACAGCGCGTACAGCAGGTAGAAGGAGGTGATGCGAACTTCCACTTCGTAAGTTTCGACGATCCGTTCGAGGAGAAATCGGGTGACTAGCTCAAAGAACTCCCGCAGGCTGTTGTCACTCCGGTGGCCGCAGAGGATGGCGCCGAAGCGAAGGCCTTTGAAGCAGTGTACAAAGGCGTTGAAGGTGATGGGGATCTGCGTGGGTGCTGCTGCTGCTGCTGCTGCTGCTGCCCCAGTGTTCATCAGCTGAGCAGAGGAGGGACCTGCCGGCGAAGTGTGCTCCAGTCCATCCGCGTCTGTTCCCTTCAGTCCACCGGCAGCAGTTGCACTAGGAAGGAAGAATCGGAGCAGCTTATCATAGTCCTCCCTGAAGCCGTCCAGTAGCGACTGCATCCTAACGGCTGGCAGTTGGTCGGCCAGAGGCAGCAGCTGCTTCTGCTTCTGCTGCTGCTCTTCGCGATCGGTGTCTGTGTGTCGGTCGGTGGGTGCAGTGGGCCAATGTCTCTCCCTCTCTTCAGCTGGCTATATACAAAACGTACTCTCTCCCTCAACGGCAGGCCGAGTCAATTGACGGTTGGCATCGTTGGCTGCTACCGCCGCCGCCGCCGCCGTTGCTGCTGCTGCTGTACTGCTGGCAAGCCAAGCCAATGAACTGCACTGTCGCAGGCATCATCACTTTCGCACTGTGCCTCTGCGAGCGCGCGCAATTGGCCCTATCGAAGTGGCCGAAAAGCTCACCGAGAAAAGTGCGAGAGAGTGAGAGAGTCCACTGAATCTTAGAAGAGCAGCAGCACTTTCTTGAAGACGCACGGCCCGAGAGGCTTTGTTTACACTGTTCCCTTTCTGCGCTCCCCTCACCCGACGACGTAGCCTAGTGGTCACTCCCCTGCACAGAGCGAGACGAGGGCGTCATGGACTCGGTCTCCTGTCTCGAGTTGGCGCTCGAGGGCGAGCGTCTGTGCAAGATCGGCGACTTCAGCGGCGGCGTTGCCTTCTTCGAGGCTGCCGTCAAGTGCGGCACCAGTGACATGAAGACGCTCTCCGCCATCTACTCACAACTGGGCAACGCCTACTTCTACTTGGGAAACTACCCCAAGGCGATGGAGTACCACAAGCTGGACCTGACAGTTGCCAAGTAAGCGCTTTGGTGGTTTGTTTGTTTCTTGAGTTCTCACTGGCAATGCCCGCTTTCCCTATAGGTCCATCTCAGACCGCATCGGCGAAGCGAAGGCAAGTGGTAACCTCGGCAACACACTGAAGATGATGGACCAGTATGACGGTGCTACTACCTACTGCAAGCGGCACCTCGAAATATCACGTGAACTAAATGATAAGGTTCGTTTGATGACAGCTGTTCGGTTTCTGGTGGTCCTAACCTTTTTCTCTTTTAGGTTGGAGAAGGACGGGCTCTGTACAATTTAGGAAACGTGTACCACACCAAAGCCAAAAACCTCGGTCATCTCGGCAGTCATGATCCTGGCAATTATCCGGACGATGTGAAAAGCTGTCTGGAGACAGCTATCAATTACTACAAGTACGTCAACTGTCCCCCCACTATATAGTCTGGTGGCACTTTTAACACTCTCTGATTTCACCTAATGATTGCAACGGTCTTTTTTACTAACATTCTCTCCTTCCTGTTTCAGAGAAAATCTGGAACTAATGATCAAACTGGGAGACCGATCTGCTCAAGGTAGAACGTACGGCAATCTGGGCAATACTCACTACCTTCTGGGAAATTTTACTCAAGCTGTCCGATATCACGAAGAAGTAAGTTGATAATGCTGATGTGTTTGTTAAACTCTGATGCTAAACTGGCATTCTGACATTTTGCAGAGACTAAAAATTGCCATTGAGTTCAACGATAAAGCCGCTGAACGGCGAGCTCAATGCAACCTCGGAAACGCACACATATTTTTGGGTGAATTTGAAAAGGCGGTGGAGAATTACAAGTGAGTCTTGTTTGCATATTTACCAACCAACTTTCTCACGCTAAACACTCCTTCTGCACCACAGACAAACGCTAATTTTAGGCGAAGAACTGAAAGACCAGGTGATTGAAGCACAGGCGTGCTACAGCCTGGGCAACACGTACACCCTTCTTCGAGACTTCAAGTTGGCCATCGAGTACTACCTTAGACACCTGGTCATTGCTCAAAAGCTAAACGACCGAATCGGCGAGGGACGAGCGTACTGGAGTCTGGGAAATGCAATGCAGGCCGTGGGCGAACACCAGAAGGCCATTGACTACGTGCAGAAGCACCTGGACATCTCCAAAGAGATTGGCGACATCACCGGACAGGAGAACGCCCAGATCAGCATCAGCGAGCTGCGCCAGATACTAAACCAGGAGTCAACGGTGAATGATCGCGTGAAGAACATCATGAGGCCGAAGCGGGTGAGCATGAACAAGATGGAGCTGGTGCCCATCACGCCGGACGCAAAGAAGGCTACCATGATTGAGGCGTTGAACAAGGGGGTCGGCAACAAGAACGAGAAGACGACGAAGGCCCGTGCCGCCAGTGTGGAGTGCATCAGCAAAAGTCATGAGGACTTTTTCGACCTGGTGTCCAAATTCCAGAGCAAGCGAATGGACGACCAGCGGTGTTCGATTGACGTCCCAGGCAACAACAACAAGGAGAACAACCACAGCAAGCTGATTGCTGCAAAAAATATGTCCCTCGATATTGGCGGCCACTGCTCGCAGAAGGGCAGTGCGCCCATTGCCAGTAAAGTAGTGAGCGGGAAAGCCATCGCCGAGGTCGCTGTCGGAGGAAATGGTGGCGGAGGTGGCGAAGATCTCTTTGATCTGATTGTGGGCATGCAGGAGCGGCGAATGGATGACCAGCGGGCGACACTGCCGCAGCCACCCAATCTCAATGGGTTCCCCTTCAAGGAGAACAAAGAAAATGTGACCCGACACGTGACGACGACTAGCGGTGGGGCAGGTGGAGGAGGAGGAGGAAAGGCTCGTGCCCAGCGCCAGTACTCGCTGAACAGCTTCAGCTCGCCTCCGCCCGAGGAGGACTTCTTTGATATGATCGTGAAGAGCCAGCAAAACCGTCTGGAGGACCAGCGCACTGAGATGCCCTCCACCTCCACTGGTCCTTCCTGCAGCGGGTCGTCCTCGCTGCTCCACCAGGTCATTCACAGGCCAACCAGCGTCTCCTCTACGCAAAGCAACTCACCGGTAAGTCACCCACATTTGCCCTTTTTGCAGTTTCCAGCTCTTATTCAACCTTCCTTCTCCTCTTTAGACATTTGCTCCCACAGTTCCTGATGAAGACTTTTTCAGCCTGCTAATGCGCTTTCAGTCAAATCGAATTGAAGACCAGCGATCTTCACTGCCCTTGGGTGAATGATAAGCTGATGAAGGTGTGAAATGTACGGTGATTGAATCACCAAACACACGCACTCTATATCTCCGGGCGCTGAACTGTTGTGAACCGTTCATCGCTCAACAATATCCTTCTGTCGGTCTGCCTGACTGACTGCTGTTGACGTCTGCGATGACGTTTCAACCGTTCTCGTCCGCTTGAACTCATCTGATGAGGCACTCTCATTGACACTGAAAATGAGGAGCAGTACAACATATTCTCATCAATATCATCGACTGCTGCAAAGAGCAGTGACAGAACTGTGTGAGCACCAGCTGCGGCCAATTGACAGCCCATTGTTCTTTCTTCTGATCATCGTTTTTATATGTTCTTAGTGCTCTCTATACTATTATTTTTCTGTTTTTTATGTTTATGATTGTCAGCCATGACTGCCATTATATTTATGTTTCCATTTGTTTCCTCCTCTCAACTTCATCATTCTTTCACTTCTCTTTCTCTTCTCCAGTTGCTCCATAAACACAAACACATCAACCACCGACACACACACCAGACATGTCAACATCAATTAATTGACCAAGTACAAACAAACAAGCAAACAACAACACACGAAAAGGTGAAACGTTGAGCCAAATGAAATAAAGACTGTTGTGCTATTTGGACAAACACATACATATTTCACTTGCCAGAATTCAAGGGATGTTAGGATTGTTGGCTTTATTTCATCTTATCAAAAGGAAAGTGCCTGAAAGTCAGGTAACAGCGGCAGCAGCAGTAGCCAGAGTCAAATCAGAGGGGAGTTCACGCACACAATGTGTGGCTTGCCCTTGTTGAATCCAAATCCGAATCAGTTAGTAGAGAGAAGAGAGAAGAGAAGAAAGCAGTTCACAGCCAGACCAATCAGTGTTGCCAGTGGCTTGGGGCGGGGTGGATCAGTGTCAGAGATGAACCTTTTGTTAGACCTTGGTCACCCAGACCTTGGGACCGGCGGCCTCCTTGCTGATTTGCGTGTACGACTCGAGCATCTTCTGCTTGCGCTCTGCACACTCTCGCTGGCGGTCACGCAGGGCACGCTCCATGGCGTCCATTTCGGGGAAGTTCGGCTTGCTCAGAGGACTGGTGGGCGTCTGCACAGTGACACCTGCGCAAGAAAAACAAAACAATAGCAGTTATGTAAATGTGAAATGGCAAAGGACCATTGTTCCACACTTACCACCCTTCACAACGGGCACACCACCACTCATTTGGAAGGTGGCACTGGACTGCTGTGACTTGGTGCGCTCGTACTCGTTGACTGGTGGAGAAAAGTGTTAGACCCAGGCTAAAAAGTTCACACCTCATCGCGATCACTTACTGTCAATCTTGTTGGCCACATCAAGGTCAACGTCCCTGGCCGCTCCGGCCGGTGCAGACTTGGCGGCCACGTCAAAGGCAGCGAGGATGCGCTTCTTGCGCTCTTCTGCCTCACGCTGGCGCTTCTTGATGGCGTCCTCTACGTGGTCGGTTCTAGGGCCAAAGGACATCGGAGCACCGGTCAGGGTTTTGGTGGAGGACGTGGTCGAGGACGAAGCTGAAGAGGGAGCGAATGTCAGTCATCAATCAATGGCATCCCAGTTCAAATCAATATTTACTTTTGGTAGTTGTCGTTGTCTCCGTCTTGAGGATGCTCGTGTCCAGCTTTTTCTGTTCCCCAGCGGGCGCCGACTTGGCCATGTTGTCGTACATCTGAGCAGTGCGCTGCTTGTGCAGCTCCGCTTCCTGCTTCTTCTTCTGCAGCATATCCTCACGGGTGTTCGTCAGCTTGGTCATCTTCTCCTCGCGCTCCACTGCAACAAAAACAGGTGACCAAGAAGATTATTAACAACTGTCACCGATCTCAAAGATGCCCTTCTTACCCTTCTTGGTGGCCTTCAGCTCCTTGATCCGATCGCGGATCACCTTGCGATCTTCCGGATCATCAGTCTGGTCGAGCTGTTAGAGTGTCAAGGTAATGAAAGGAAGAAAAAGATTAAAGAGAGCCCAGGCACAAATAATGCAGGAAGAACAAGTGGACGAACCAGACTCTGCAGCAAGTTCTCATCGGTGATTTGGTCAAGATCAATTTCCTGGTCGTCATCCATGATGGCTAAAATGTGTGTGATTGACTAAAACAAGAGGACAAGAGTGGAAGACTGAACTGAAAAGAGTGAGAGGGACACCTCAGAGAAAGAGACACGACACGAAGAACAGGCAAGTTTATAATGCAAGAATCAACATGCAAGTGGCAGCAGGCGGCAATATTCGTGACAATTTTGGCTGTTGCTGTTCGAACAGAGACAGCGGCAGAGAGGATGCAAGAAGACGGAGAGAGTTTAAAAGAGAAAGAAAAAGCGCGCTGGTAATGGCGCCCACAATCTGCGTGAGAATCGGTTACAATTTGCAGCAAGCGCCGTTGATTGCCGCTGCGCAGCCTGCCACAGCCGCCTACCGCCGCGAGCCAGGGAAGAGCGCAACCAGCGAGTGAGAGAGTGAAAGAGAGAAAGAGAATGTAGAGAAAAAATTCTAAAATTCCTTTGCCAGCGACGAGGGACGCACCAGAATTAGAGACATGCCTAATAAAGGAATTCTCTTGAATCGAGTTCGCGTCTATTCTTAGGAGGGCGCCCGCTCCGTTCGCTTGCCTCGAGGCAAGCCAGAGCCATCAACTTCAGAGCAGCAGCGGCGGCGGCAACAGCCCCCAACAGCAATAGAAGCAACCAATCTCGTAGCCAGCAAATAGACGAGAATGAAAATTATGTAAAAGTCTGTGTTTTCCTCTTTTTTTCACTTGTACAATTGCCTTTCTTTTCAGCGCACTTTTCACTTTCCTCCTCTCCCTCTCTCTCAACTGCCATAAATCTCCAATTTAATCCTGCACTTTTTCTTTGTGTCTTCCACTCAACTCGAAATTGCTGCCTGCTCGTCTCGTCGGCGGTGTGCAACCCTAAATTAGCCAACGGCGTCTGAAGGCGATGACTAGTCAACCGATTAAATGAACACCGAAGCGGTATATGAATCTGCCTTGCCTCCCTCTCTCTCGCTAATGGCCTCAATTCTGGTTGCAATTGTTGAAATCCACACCAGCAATGTTTGCATCAATGACACTTTGCCAAATGGCCACAGAGAATGTTCTCATTTGTTTGTCATGATGGCAACAGCCGTCATCGTCATCGTCGATTGCAGTTCAAGTTCGATTTAGTTATACCATGCTAAACTCAGTTCAGGCGTGGAACGGGTATCTTTCCAAGAAAGTGGCAACTGGCTGTGGTGTGAAACTGGAAAAAAGGACAATTGGAATCATTAGGGGAGGACAGTGTCTGGGTGTGTGTGTGTGTGTGTTTGGTAAATGGAAAAGAAGATGCAAAAAGTGATGGCCGTGAGGACGGGCAACGGTGTGTTGGTGTGTTGAGGTGGCATTGAGGGGGCGGTGAGCGGGTGCGTCAGTATAAGAAAGGTAGCAAGAAAATCAGCAGTAGAAACAGTGGTAGAAAATATTTGCGTGCCAACGAGGAAAAGTTTAAAACGAAAACAAGTGATGCCGGGACAATTCGGAGTGCTGTCTTCGGGGTTTCGGTGTGACGCTGGTGGTGTCTCAGTGTCTGTCTCCTTCTGTCCGCAACACCGAATGCTACTGCCAAGGAATAGGTAACGGTACTAAACACAGCATCAAGCGCTGAATGAGGTGCTGCACTTGGCGTCGGTGTCTTCCACTCTTCAGATTCTTCCCGCGGTGTTGCACAGCTGCCGTCGACATAGAGGGACGCAATGGTGCATTCAGTCAACTTCTACAGAGGTGCAAATGTGCCACACCACCACCACCACCATGACTGCCATCTCTGCCAAGTGAAGCTGACATTTGACAAATGAACCCCTCTCAAGTGGTGGCGGAGGTGTCTTGCAGCAGACGGACGGACTGTGACGTGGAGGTGCCGCCGCCGCCGGTGGTGGAGCAGGCAGAGGAGGAGGAGGACGTGGGGGTGGACGATGACAAGGTCGATGATGATAATTGAGAGCTGATCTCATCATCCTCGGTGTTGCCGTACAGTGCCAGAGCTGCTGCTGCAGCCGCCGCCGAAGTAGAGGCTGCAGAGGTGCAACAGTCGGCGGGCGTCGTCGCCTCTGTCGTCGAGGAAGAGACAGGCAGGTTCGACGAGCAGCAGCCAGCCGAGTTGTTGGTGGTGGTGGTAGAGAGCTCGGCAAAGCTGAACTGCGCCAGTGAATGGTCTCCGCCAGGTCGGTGGCAGACACAATCACAGGGCGACATAAGCGGCTGGTCCTCTCTGGCGTGAAGCTCAGTGCGCACCGAGGCTGAGGACTGCTCTGTTGGAGCACTGCGGCCGCTGATGCTAATGCTGATGCTGCTGCTGTTTGGCTCGCCGGCCGGTTCGTTGTTGTCGCTGCCCTGTTTTAACATTACAAATCGAAATTAAATCTTTAATAAATGTATTTTCTCTGCTAATCTCATTACCTCTGAGTAGGAGCTCATTTCACTACAGGTGGTGGTAAAGTTGTAGACAGTCGTCGAAGTTACTGAAGAGTTGCATTCACAGCTGCAACTGCTTTGTAGCTTGCGCAGACTGCTGAGCGCCGCCTTGACCGTTTCTGCACTACCATTGCCCATCGGCTTACTACTATCAGCACTGTTAATCATATGATTATTGCGATGTAGGTAGTCCCAGAAGTTGTCATCGAAACGATCCTCCGCACCGTCAATGTCTTTGATGGGGGTGATCGGCGTGAGGTTCTCACTGGGTGAAAAGGCCTCATTCAGGTAGCAGTTTTGGTTGTTATTGTTGGTATTGTTGTTGTTGTTGTTGGCAATCTCCGGGAAANAAAGGCCTCATTCAGGTAGCAGTTTTGGTTGTTATTGTTGGTATTGTTGTTGTTGTTGTTGTTGGCAATCTCCGGGAAGCAACTGTTGGCTCGCTTGCGAGACTCTATTTTAGGGCTCTTCAGCTTCTCGCAAAAGTCCGCCCAAATGTACGGGTTGCTCTTGCGGGTGAAGCGATTACGCTGATTTGGATGTAAGCCTGATGATAATGATTTTTTAAAATCCGTTAAACAGAGTTGACAGCAGCGAGCAAAAAACTAACCCAAACTTACCTGGAATGGTTACAGTGAGTCGATCACAGTCAGAGACGTTTTCAGTGGGCGGACATTTGATGTACGCTTCAAAGGAGCTCACATTCACCGGAGTGATCGAACGGGGCCGCTCAATGGGCGACGTTTTCAGCCGCTCAGAGCCGCTTAGCTTGGGTGAAGAAAGCTGGCCACTCTCACTCTCCGAAGAAGCAGTTGGACAGCTGAGAAGTGGAAGCTGTGAAGTATTTCTGGGCGGAAGTTGCTGGTGGTGGTCGGTGGCAGTGAATGGAAGTTGTAGTTCAGCATTGGCTGCTGAGTTAAGCTCCAGCTCATCACCGGTGAGGAGGCTTTCCAGCTCGTCGGTGTCCGATGCGGTCATGTCCTGATGCCTGCTCCCCTGCTGATCCTCGGGCTGATCCTCGTCGTTGTCCTCATTATCTGCGGCGTCAGTGTCCAGTTCATCACAGCTGCAGGGCGCAGGAGGGGCCAGTGCCAGGCTCCTCTCGATGCGTTCACACTCCTCACAGGACAGCGCATCGCCGTCCGTCTCCGAGCAGCACGAACGATCACGGTCGGCCATTGAACAGGAGCACGAGCTGGCGCTGCATAAACTGACTGAATCTGAACAATGGAGAGAAAGAATATGTGGTCAGTAAGAAGAACAGGCAAAGGCAGAACAGTAGAGAGAACACACTCACCGACGTCCGTTTGGTTATCTTCAGCGCCTCCAGTCTCCTGCGGATGCTGCGGCAGTTCTATTTGCACCACTGTTTCCACTAAACTCAACGAGGGTGGCTCTACATTTGTCGGCGTGATGTCGTAGTCCAGCGTCTGTAGCTGCCTTCGGTGCATTTGTTCTTGTTCATATTGTTCATATTGTTGCTGGCTGATGTTCACCGGAGTCAGACACTGCTCCTCGGGCTCATCATTGTCCTCGTAGTCAGTCAGACGGACGCCAATGTCGTGCTCGACGTTGGCCGGTGGACTAAACTCATTCCGTTGCGTCACCGGCTGCGATGCAATGACCAGACTCTGCAGCTCACAGTCAGACTGGGCGTCAGCCTGCTTGCTCACTTCTCGACTGAAGAAGTTAAAGTTGAAGAGGCTGAACTTGCGCTCTCGTGCTTTGGTGGGCGTCGGTGACCGTCCCAGCGAAAAGATGTCCGTCCAGCTGCCTTTCCGCTTTGGTTCACCTGCGGGAAGAAATTGATTAGTTGTACAACAGACACTCTTTCAAGAGAACACCAACCTGATTTGCCATCACTGATGTTGAGCGTCGCTGCCGTCGCACTGTGAAGTCTTCGTCGGTCATACTCGGGCAGGTGGACGGTCTCGATGGGGTGTTCCACCTCGTTGTGGTCAGTGATGATCAGACTGATCTGCGGACAGGCCATTCGAACTGAGGAGAGGGCGGCCTTCTCATCGTCAGAGGACGAGCTGCTGCTGCTGTGCGCCTCGTCGGTGGGCAGGTCTTCGAAGGAGGCGAGCGGGGCAGGTCCGAAGCGCCTCTGTCTGGAGGGATAGGAGCCACGACTAGTACCGGACGTCGGCGTCGTCGAGTCGGCCCGCGACATATCGAGCTGGCATGGGCATGCAGACACCCCCGATCAGCACTTCTGCCCACAAACTGACGACTTCAATCACTCACTCGCTCACCGAACTGCTAATCTGGTGGAGGAAGCACACGGGCAGACGGGCAGGCAGAGAAGCACACTGGTGTCACCGGGCAGTCACCGGGCAGAACAGCTTCCTCTTCGCTGCTGCTGCTGCTGGTGCGGGCCGACTACGGGCCAGGCGGTCACAGGCTAATCTGGCAATTTGCATTCGAGAAGTACTGCTCTCTGCTCTGCTCAGTGCACCGTCAAATGCCAACTGCCAAAGATTGTACACTCCTGTCCACCACTTGACTTGCCAATACAGCCACCACTACTGACAGCTCGAACAGACCGACTCAAAAACAAACCAAAGTGAGAGAGCCAACCAGACAGCCTCAACTAAAGGGAAAGTGAGAGTGAGAGAGCAGGCACCCTCTGCACAGTAGCCCGGGTAGTGCACTCAATTGATGGATTCTGGCGGTGGCACCGACCTGCGCCCCATAGCGCCCTCTTCCTGCTCCTCTCTTTCTGCTCTGCTCTTTCATTTGGATCGAGTGCACTGCCGCTGAAGATAGAGCGCGCCAATCGGCTACCTTTGAAAAACAGTGGCGGTAGTGCACACTGAAGATCACCACTGACTGAAATGGAAACACTGCCGGCGGCGTGTGACCATGTGTGTGTGCCGCTTGCATGTACATCAGTGAACCGTATGGAGCGTACTACCGGCAACTACTGTACTAGTCAAACAGGTTACTACACCGATCACTGCTGACACAGATCACGGCCACCTGGCCACTGTCTGTTGCTGGAATTTGTACCAGCAGTCCTCCAGACTGTTGCTGTCCTGTGTCTGCCGTCCTGTCCTGCCTCTGCCCGGCCAAGCATTTCTGTGGCGGCCTTTCTGCCGCTCTGAGCAGTGTCCAGCAGTGCCGCAGGATGATGATCTAATCAGATCTCTGTTGTTGTTCGCCTTGGAGCCACCTCTCTCTTTCTCTCTGCCTCTCTGTCTCTGCTGATAGAGAGCGTTTTGCAAGCTGATGATATTGCCGTTCAGTGGAGCACCGCGCAGGGCGCTACAAGCGTCAGCCAGGACAGTGAGGACACCACTACTCAAATTCATGTGGCAATCGAGGCATTGCTGAGCCATCACAGCATCTCACACTCACGCTCAAGATGAAAGAGGCCCACTTCTTCGCTGGAACAGCTGCTCCTCCTCCTGCTGCTGCCGCTTGCTTTGTATCCCAAATTTGGACAGCCGCCGCCGTCTAGGGCGACACTGCACTGCACTGTTCCCCAGCACTCCCACTCCCAGCCCACTGCCCAAGATGATTCGTCGCATCGGCCGACACCTACTGCTGCTTTCAGTGCCGCTCTTCATCTTCCTCTTCATCAGCTATCGCAACTACCACGGCCTGATGGTCGTCAGCGAGAAGCCGCTTCTCATTGTGGAAGTCGACAAGTCGCCGGCAGAAATGGTGGTAGTTGCCAGTGATGCCGCTGTCGGACTGCTGCCCCCTCCTGAAGAGGAGGTGGTGCTGGTAGACGATTCATCAGAGTCAGTACTGCAAAAGCCACAGGTACTGTGTCAACACACTATTATCTGTTGAATGACACCTCTCTCCTTCTCTCTCCCTCAGCTGATTCCCCCGCCTCGAGTGAAGCACTACGAGCAGGCGAATAAGCTGTCTGCGGAGAAGCAGCGTCTCTTTGATCAGTGGCACGTGCTGGCCGACGGTACGGTGACCCACCGAGGCAGTGAAGACCTCCACCGGAACATCACTCTGCTCATCAACAGCGCCCACCGGTGCGCCAGTCTGCGGGCGAACCAGAGCAGCTTTGTGGTGCTCGTCGAGTCGGACATTGTCAACTTTGAGGAGCGGCAGCTGATTCGCGACACCTGGGGCCTCAGTGTCCTCCAGCAGGTGGCCAACTACCGGGTGATTTTTCTGGTGGGAATGACCACCAGTGAAGAGGTGCAAAGCAAGTTGGACTTTGAGCAGCACATGTACGAGGACATGGTGCAGATTGCCATCTACGAGGGCTTCCAGAACCTGACCTACAAGTCGATTCACATGCTGCACTGGTTCACCCATCACTGTCCCTCTGCGCGGTACCTCTTCAAGACCGATGACGACATCTACCTGCACATACCCAATCTCATTCAGCTCTTCGCGAGCACCACCTTCGAGGGCTCACTGCTCTGCCACCACAACAACTCGCGCAAGATTCTCCGCAGTCTAAAGGACATTCACTACTTTGTGTACACGGTGAAAGACCGCACCAGAAAGGAAGTGCTCGAGCAGATACGCAGCAAGTTCCACAAGTACCTCATCAGTCTGGATCTGCTGCCTGGTCAGTTTGACTAACTGTGGCTGTGGCTGATTGAATTAACTCACACGCTTTCTATTTCCCCTTTTCACAGGCTCCCTCTACCCCGACTACTGCTCTGGCTTCGGATACGCAATGGACCACAGCACTGCCCGCAAACTGCTTCTCGCCTCAGCACATATTCCCTACGTCGGCATCGAGGACGTCTTCATCACCGGCATCTGCCGTGAGAAGGCAAAGCTGGGCATCACCAACAACGCCCACTTTACTCTCAAGCCCTATGTGCAGCCCATCGAGGCTGTTTGCGCGTTCGAGGGCGGGCGTGTGACCTCCAATGAAATGAACGGTCCCGAGCTTAGGAAACTGTGGACAAACATCAACACTCAGGGCTACTACTGCAAGATGTCCACTGGTGAGACGTGAGTAGTCGGTAGCAGAGTAGTGATTGCTTCAGTTAATTATTGCCAAACTACTACTGGAAGAAAGGAGGAGGGAAGAAAATATCACAAGAAATATACAGTTGTACACGCGTTTGTTTGAACACCACTTAATCCTTTGACTCGTCATCATCAAACAGTTCAGCTGATGAAGAGAGCGAAGAAGATGAAGAAGACATTGATGACTCGTCGCTGGCCGGCGAAATGACAAAGAGGCCATTCTCGTCGACAGTGCTTAGCAGCTCGCAGATAATAGACGATTCCACCTGAAAGAAAGTAAAGTTTTTGCATTGTCGAACACAACTACAATCACTAAATCCCATTCCTACTTACACCTAAAACGTATTCGCAAGTTTTCGGCTCCATCAAGTAAATGGTCACCGATTCAGAGTTAGCGCTTGAGCCACATCTAAAATTAAAATGAAAGACAGAATTAAAGTCCATTTGTGATAACAGTAACAAACTGATCTGTACATAATTTTTTACATATAAAATGAACTTACTTTAACTTCACCTCAACTGTTCGCGGCTTCTTGGTCAAGTCACACGCTTCTCCATAGGAGTAAAAGTGCGACACTTGCTTTGGCGTCTTGCCCGCCTTGGGTCGTTTCGATGGATTTGCCTCGAGCCACTTTACGTGCTCCTTCAAGTCCCAGTTGCCCAGATTAATTGACACTTTCTTGCCGTTCTTCTCCTCGTGATACTGGTCCACTTTTTTGCCATAGCAAAACTCGTACTTCCACCAGCCTGAGCCCTGAAAACAGCAGCAATAAAATGTCATTAAATTATCACTTCTTCAGGGCAAAATTAGATAAAAAAGATTACCCCAGTCAGGCAGTACTCTCCAGTGAGAAACTGTCTGGCAATCTGCGTGAATGCACGCTTGTTCTCCGATTCAGGAACAATTTTGATGCGAATTCCTTGGCCTGTACTGTCAGTTTCAATGCTGATCCTTTTGCCCTCAAATATCGACCCCAATTCGTTTTTCTCTTCCTTTAGACTTTTCAGTTGCTCCTTTTCCTTTTCCTTTTCTTTTTGAATTCTATCAAGTTCATAGCCGACTGGAACGGCCGGCGTTTGAGCGTTCATCGGATAGCACTTGATTTCATTTTCTACGGCAGTTTTTAGCTAGAAAAATGAAAACATTAAAATACAAACAAACCTTGAAAAGCCTGCTCACCTTGAATTCGGACGATTTGCAAAGCAAAGGCGAAAAGGAGACCACTTCATATTCGCAAGTACTGGTTTCCTTGATCGAATAAAGGTCGTGGTTACCTTCTTCGAGGCAAACGTAGAGGACACGGGTGAAGCGCTTTTTGCTGGACAAGTCGCACAATGAACCGTCGGTAAAGTTGACCTCAATGAAAGGCAGTGTCAGGTCTTCCACGGTGACCGTTGGCCGCTTTTTGCCGCGTTCATTCTCTTCGTAATTCTTTGAAAGCTTGTCCAGCTGCTTTAGATCGAATTTGCCTAGGTAATATTCTTGCGCAACTCCTTCTTGCCGGGATCGAGGGTCTTCATGAAACTGACGAATGTACCGGCCGTGACAGATTTCATAAGTCCAATAGTTTTCCACTCGATAGGCGCAAAACTTTTTTGTAAATACAGGTCTGATCAGCTCATATGGATTGAGATCTGCGTCTTTTGATGACTCTGAGTTAAGTTGAGCCTAGAAGTACAAAGATTAGCTGTAGTACGAGCACAAAAACCCAAAATACTGAAACATACTTCTTTGTCAACAGAAGGAATCACGCACCGATACTGTTCATTATTAGGCGAGTTAATGAAAACCTCCTCACCGTCAATCTGTCAAAAAACAAACCTTTCTTCAGTAAAGTGCCAAACCACCGGCAGATAACAACAAACCTTATCAGACGACTCTGCCACCGACTTGTTGACAACGTCGCTTTCGCTCTGATGACTCTTAGCCCAGTTAATTTTGTACAAAATTGTGTCATCAAACGTGAAGCGTGAATCAGTTTGAATCGGTGCTTTGACTGCGGCGTTCTCTTGAATTGCATTCTCCACCGCTGGAAGGCTGTTTGCATTTTCGCCCTCCTCTTGGTGGCTGTGCCCGATGAGGCAGGAGAAGATCACCAGGAGAAGGAGATGAGCTGGACTTGGGGATCGGGCTAGAACTCTCCGGGTGGCCATGGTCTGTGCGTGGACGGCGACAGGCCGTCAGTTTCAAGGGATACGTGTCCAAAACAAAACAGTGACGAGTGTTGTCGGCGGCAGATGCAGCGGCAGTCTGTAGTGCACTGCACCAGATGAGTCTGCCTGGTGGACACAGAGCACTGAAGTTCAGTCTCTGTCTGTGTGTTTGTGTGTGTGTGTTTGCACTTTGCAGGCAGTCGATCGGCAAGGCAAGGCAAGTCATTCCGCTTGTTGCCTCGCCAGCTGCTAACTACCAACAATTGTACTAACTGTACAATTGCCTCGAAAGATGGTCATCTGACAATCAGATGTGTACAGCAGGCCACCTTGCTGCCCCAACATGTGGCCCACCGTCTTCCCCACCACCGCCCTTCTTCTTCTCCTCCTCCTTCTCGCCAAAGTAGAAGCCTTCCCTGACCAGGGAAAGTGGTCATTCACCGTCAGAGAGGTAAGAGCCGGCTTCGCTATTACTATTGCAAGTTACCTGATACACTTACCTTCTCTTGTTGCTTACCTTATCAGAAGAGCTGTCACTACTTCAGCACTCACAGTGCACTGTACGCCAACTCGAGCATTGCTCTTAAAAGTAAGTTGGAAGCCAGAAAACGCTAACAGTAATCTGACCATTTGTTTACATTAGTCTCGTGTGATCCCACCCATGATGCAAGTCAGAAGATCAACGTCGGCTGGGTGCTGCGTGCCTCACCCTGTTTTGAGGAATATCTCGGTTCGGAGATATCTGTAAGTGATTCTGTGCTTCTTTCTCTGTGTCATCATCTCACACATTTGCTCTCAGATGCCGGAATACCTGAAATGGTACTACTACTGCCCGGCGTCGCAAATGGGCGACTTTGGCTACACCACAATCAAGTACTTAAAAACAGAGGAAATCTCCATTTCCTGTAATGAGTTTATTGACTTGACGGTAAAAACAGCTGATTTTGTTGATAAACTCTCACAAAGCTAACTCGCTTTCCACTTCGTCAGCCTTTCAGTGGTGCCTCCTTTACAAATGAAACAGTCAACACCAATTCAAGTCCACAATGTGTGCCTCAAAATCTCCCTTGTGAAAGCTCATCTAGTGATTACAGTTTGTACTTTTCAAAGAAACAAAACAGTATTGCCCAACACACTTTTGTAAGTTTTCTAAGCCTTGGTAAAGTACAAGTTCTTTACGGAGTGTTTTTTGCAGAGAAAAAATGCCTACAGCATCGCCGTCCCCGAAGACAATGTCTATCTATTTCTTTTGTTCGTTCGATCTCAAGACAATCGTCGATTCAACCTGACAGTGGACATCAACTTTCAGTCACCCTCTGGCCACTACCTCTCTGCGGTCGACTATCCATTGCTGACCTTTTACGCATTGATGTCCTGCTTGTACTTTTTCTATGCACTCGCCTGGTTCGTCGTGTCGTTGGTGCAGTGGAAAGAGCTGCTGAGAATTCAGTTCTGCATTGCCATTGTCATTCTCTTGGGAATGCTGGAGAAGGCCATATTCTATGGTGTCTACCAATCATTGAACTCAAGTGGCATCTTGGAGCGAAATACTTTCTACCTGGCAGAACTGTTCTCCTGCTTGAAGAGGACATTGGCTCGAGTGCTGGTGATCATAGTTTCATGTGGATTCGAAATTATCAAGTAAGTCGAACCTTACATGTTGTTATTTTATGCCAACTCATATTTTGTGCTTTTGATCAGACCTCATTTGGGACACACACTCAACAAAATCGTTTCTGTAGGATGTCTCTACTTTATCCTCGGAACTTTAGAGGCAACGCTTCGTATTTACAAGGTTTGTTCATGTGATACGTGTAAATGTACTAATTTGTACATTTCTTTTAGCCTAAAAACGACCCTTCTAATCAGACGTTAATTGCCGGCATCCCGTTGGCGCTGCTAGACAGTACAATTTGCTGGTGGATTTTCAGCAACTTGGTGCAAACGACGAAAATTCTTCGCTTGCGCCGAAATCTAATCAAACTCGAGCTTTTCAACCACTTTACAAATGTTCTGGTCTTTGCTGTTCTTGCATCCATTGCCTTTATGATTTGGCAGATTCGCATTGTAAGTGGACGTCGATTTGGAACGGGAACATTTTTACCATAATTTTCCATTTCAGCACAAGTTCACCTACTGTCTAACTGACTGGAAGTCAGTTTGGTTTGATGAAGCGTACTGGCATATTCTGTTCTCTATCATTTTGCTGGCAATCATGATTCTCTGGCGGCCAACGAACAACAATCAAAGGTATTCTTCGCAGTTCACCTCAAGGATTGACGATACTAAAACTGATGGAACCTTGGACCACAACAACAGGTACGCCTTCACGCCACTACTCGATGTGAGCGACGACGAGGAGGACGTGGAAAAGGACAAAGACGTTCACCGACTGATTGAAGGCACTGAAGTGAAGAGTCGCACGGCTAATCAGGCACGGCGCAATTCAGCTAGTGACACTGAGCCGGAGATTCTCAGCAAGGAAACGGTGGATAATCTAAAATGGATTGAGGAAAACATTACTACGTCACTGGTTGATTCGTAAGTAGTCGGACTCGAGTCTATCACAACTTTCTAAACTTTATCCCCCATACTTCACCAGTTCTCTGCCAAACCTTATTGACTCTGATGACGAGCTGCTAAACACTCGATTCGAGATGAGCAAGATGCAATAGTATCCTCTTTTGTATTTCTGTATTATTTAATTGTAATCTATTTTTATTTGTTCTTGTTTAACAAAAATCACTGCTTTTACCACTGTGAACTAGTTATTTGCCCGTTTAGCAGGCTTGCCTGCTGTTTGTGTGTATTGTGGTGGTGGTGGTAGTGTCACCTCCAAAGAAAGGCTGCCCATCAATGCCTGTCAGTGGTCATGTGTTGAGTGGGGAAGACTGTCTGTCTGCCTTATCAGCTGGAAAAGAGTGCTTCACCATGAGAAGGTATGCCCACTACCATCACCACCAACGATGATTAGATTGCACACGACCACATGAGCTGATCATTATGAGCCACTTGCAGAAGTCGCCAAGTTGAAGTGAAGGCAGCATCGTCTCATCCATCAGTTTTTCAAAGTCAAGACCAAAATGATGATTCCCAAAAGGCTGTTGTTGACATTTGTGGCCGGTCAGGGCAAGCAGGCCAACATCATCATCACCGGCAATTCATCACTGAAGAATGTCACTCAGCGGTGCTCCCTGTTGCACAGCAGCTCAGCTGTCAGAGCGAGTAATCAATTCAACTGGCAGGATCCCTTTCTGGTGGAGGGTCAGCTGACAGCGGATGAGCTGGAAATTAAAAATCAACTGAGGAGCTACTGTAATGAGAAGCTGCTGCCGAGGGTGCTGCTGGCGAACCGAAATGAATCATTTGATAAGGCTATAATGAAGGAAATGGGAGCACTCGGAGCACTGGGCTCCACCATCAAGGGCTACGGATGTGCGAATGTGTCTTCAGTCGCCTACGGACTGATCGCCTACGAGGTGGAACGTGTCGACAGTGGCTACCGTTCGGCGATGAGCGTCCAGTCGTCGCTGGTGATGCATCCCATTTACAGCTTTGGCTCCGATCAACAGAAGGACAAGTACCTGCCCGGGCTGGCAAAAGGCGAACTGATTGGTAAGTGACCAGCAGCAACAGGCAATACTGATATTTGAGAGATGATAACATGTGCATACTCTTGACCGTAGGATCGTTCGGCCTGACTGAACCCAATCACGGCAGCGATCCGGGCAGTATGGAGACTCGCGCCAAGTACGACGCCGCCTCCAAGTCGTACATCCTCAATGGATCCAAGACGTGGATCACCAACTCACCAGTGGCTGATGTGTTTGTCGTCTGGGCCAAACTGGACGGCAAGATTCGCGGCTTCATCCTCGAGCGCGGCATGAAAGGCCTCAGTACGCCGCAGATTGAGGGCAAGTTCTCCCTTCGAGCCTCAGCTACAGGAATGATCCTGATGGAGGACGTCGTCGTGCCAGAGGAGAATATCCTCCCCAAGGTGGAAGGCCTGAAAGGGCCATTCAGTTGTCTGAACAATGCTCGCTACGGCATCGCCTGGGGAGCACTCGGCGCGGCCACCTTCTGCTTTGAGGCGGCTCGAAGCTACACGATGGAGCGGAAGCAGTTTGGGCGGCCACTGGCGGCGAATCAGCTGATTCAGCTGAAGCTGGCCGACATGCTCACCGACATTAACCTGGGTCTGCTGGGCTGTCTGCAGGTGGGACGACTGAAGGACAGTGGGCAGCTGGTGCCGGAGATGGTGTCGGTGATCAAGCGCAACTCGGCGGGAAAGGCGCTGGAGATTGCCCGCAAGTGTCGAGACATGCTCGGCGGCAATGGCATCTCCGATGAGTACCACATCATTCGGCACGTGATGAACCTCGAATCGGTGAACACCTACGAGGGCACACATGATATTCACGCGCTCATCCTCGGCAGAGCCATCACCGGTCTGCAGTCTTTCAAGTGAACAACACGCACATTCGTGTGTTGAAAGGTTTTTATTGGAATAAAGTTCTATGTTTTAAAACAATCAAATTTTGTGTAAAATAGAATTTCGTTTCAAAAGGTAAGTTTAAAATGAGGTGTCGTTTGTTTTATTTGAACACTTGACTATATTGAAAAATGCCACAAGAGTCTCCTGTTGAGAAATTGTCAAAATCAGCTGGCAAAAACTCACAGCTTGAAAAAAGTGCCAAAGCAAACGCCAGTGACCAGGAGAAGCTCCTCAATGATATCATCAACGGGACCTCCCCACCAAGGCCTTCACCTCCTTCCAATGAGCCCACATGGTCTTTGATGGATCTGGACGACTATGATTTGTTTCCACCTGATTCAGCCATCTACCACGTCAAAGTGCCCAAGTACAAGGAGGTGAAGCACTACATCAAGGGAGAGAAGCTAGGCAAGGGCAAGTTTGGCACTGTTCGCGAGTTTGTCGACAAGTACACGCTGAAGCGATACGCCGGTAAAATATGTTTATAGAAAGTAAAATTAAAACTTCTACTGAAACTGCCTTTATTTGCAGGGAAGATCATCAAAAAGAATATGATTAAAAAGGACCCCCACGTTCGTCGTGCCATCAACAAGGAGCTGGCCATCACCTATCACTTCATCCACCCGAACGTCATGCGCGTCTACGACCTCTTCTTTGCCCAGCAGAAGATTTACATGTTCTCCGAGTTTTGCTACGGAGAGCTGTCAGAGTTCATAAAGGCCTACGAGAATCTCTCAAAGTGCCAGAGCAAAGAGTGAGTGTCTGCGCTCTATAAATGAATTGACTAGCTGCCATTCATAAGCTAACACTTCTCTTTGAACCTAGCAACTTTGGTCAAATCTGCAGCGGCCTCTACTACCTGCACTCTCGCGGCGTGATCCACCGTGACCTCAAACCGGACAATGTGCTAGTGTCCCACCAGAATGTGCTCAAGCTGGCCGACTTTGGCGTCTGTCAGACGCTGAACATCTTCGACGACAATGACATGGTGGGCGGCAATGACGGCACGCCGCTCTACCACTCCCCGGAGATGTTCGATCCTGCGGTGTACCGCTACTCGGGCTCCAAGGTGGACATCTGGGCGGCCGGTGTCATTCTCTACCAGATGTTCACCGGTCGACTGCCCTTCTTCAATGAACAGGTGATGACGGAGGAGGAGCACGACGCCATCCTCCACAAGAACGTCGACTACACGCCTCAGGTTCGAGAGGACGTCCTTCTGGTGGATCTGTTCAACAGTAAAAACTAACGTCTGTTGTCCTACTGTCGCTCAACAATTTCCCCTTTTTCAGATCTTTTTGAAAAGGACTTTCGCAAGCGCAGCACTATTCCTCAAATTCGCAAACACCCGTACGAGCACTCCTGTGACCTTTTCTATATCATACCTTATCATCTTTTTCATTCTTCTTTCAGATGGATGCAAATCGTGTGCCACAGCAAGTCGGAGCACTTTAAGCCCTTTCCCAAGGAGAGTCGCCAGGTTGACTGCTACCGTGGCCTGACTGTCCTCACCCGCATCCACGAGAAGTACTACCCAACTCTCAGTGCGGATGCCGACAAACTGGTCACGGAGAAGGTCAGAAATGGTAAGAACATCAGCTAGTTGTTTTTTCACTCTTCTACTATTAAAACACAAACTTCCTTGCAGAATCCAAGCAGCCACTGGCTCTGACTCGAGGCAACAGAGTTGAGGCGATCAAGAAGGCCGCTCCGATCAAACGATCCAAAATTAACTTTAACATGTAGTGGCAAGTTCCGTTCATGTACTGTTTGCGTTTTTCATAAAAAAAGTCTATTTACAAGGCAGTTTATGAAGACGGTGATGAGGATGAGTTAAGTAACAAGCGATGAGAATTCATTGGTGATCAATGGAGTCGATGTGATAAGAAAAAATAAATATTCAAGAAGTGATCACTGAAAGCTTTGACGAAGGGAGTAAAGTGAGCGACTTCGTGGAGAAATAGGTGTGCTGGGCGTGTTCACAGAAGGCGAAGTGGGGGACTGGTGGAGGGAAAGAGTGGACAGTCGAGTACGGTTGATTGAAGGCGTTGCTAGCAGTGTAGTGTTCAAGTTGCCGCTTGACGTATTCTGGTAGTCCACAACTAGTGCAAAGATAAAGTATAGAGGGGTTAATAAGGGAAAACAAGTTCAAGAGCGCTTTTGCTTACCTCGTCTTGGACTGGAACTAGGCGAACCATTAGTAAAGCTCAAATCGCCGGCGTTGCCAACTGCAGGTGGATAAGCTGCTCCGTACTCTTTCACCTTTCCGCCAAATGGAATGGATGCAAGGTAGCGGATGAGAAAGTAGAGCACAACTGCCAAGAGTAGTGTGCCGAAGATGAGCGTGGTGGCGTAGTAAAAGGAATCAGTCGTCGAAGAGTAGGGGGGCGGTGGAGACTGCAGGTTGTTGATGTTGTTGTTGCTGCTGGGCGAGCACCTGCCACTCTCTTCAAACTTGGCGACAGCCTCCCGAGGAGCTGACACCACTGTTTGCTCTCCATTAGCTGCCCCATTATCACTGCCACCGTCTAGAGCGCCGACGTTAATCTTATAGAAGGCTCCCACCTGGTTCACCTGATCGGTGACCTGCATGACGACGGAGCCCTCTTTCAGTGCGCGAATCTTCAGAGTGTTGTCCAGTGGGTCGCTGAGCACGGTGATGATGTCATTGCGAGAGAGGTGCCACTTGAGATTCGATTTGACCGAGTCAAACTTGCGACCGTGATTGTCGAAGAAGTTCACCACCAGGTGCGATTCAGAGCCCAGCGGGAAGACGTCAATGCTGCTGGTGCTCGACCTCTCCTGGATGAAGGTCGTGTCGAGGAACTCCAGGGAGAGATAGCGCACCCTCTCCACGTGCACCACAAAGCTGTAGAACTCAATCAGACCAGTCTTGTGGACGTCTCGGGTGAGCAGGAGCAGTGCAAGCTCCTGCTGGTCGCCCGCCTGCAGCACCAGCTCAGTGTCGTTGATGATGCGCACCGAGGTGCTGTTCAGTACTTTGTAGGAGATCTCATCGAGGTGGTTGAAGTGCAACATCAGCTCGGCATTGGGAGAGAGCAAGAGCACCTTGGTGTTGGCAATCTCCTGCGTCGCTCCGGCGGCAGCAAACGACGGCGACAGGTAGGGAGCAAAGGTGGTGAGCACGTTAATTTGCACTGAATCAGTCAGAATGATGCTTTTCCAAATCTGCTCAGTGTCTCGAGAGTTGGGCGGCACTGTCACCTCCACTCTTGCCTTCACAGTTACAGTGCCCACGGTTTTGGCGCTGAAACGAGCTGCAATCTGATCGGTGACTGAATCGACAATGCCAAACTATAACAACAAAAAGTTAGTTGAATGAACTGAAAAACTGAAAAATACAGACCTTTTGAAATGAGCTCTCAATGGAGGCAATCTTTTCGTTGGACAGCGTCCACGTGACATTCAACGCCGGCTCTGCCTGGCCGCACATGAAGGGCGTCTCATGTTGCTCTGAGCTGCCAATCAAGTAAAGAGGCATGTGAGAGCCAAGGACAATCTGATTAACGGGAGACCAAATCTTTATCTTCTTCAGCGGCACAACGTGCACTTCCACCTCAGCGCGAGAATACTCAAAGTTGTTGATGTTTGTCGCTCTTGCAGTCAGTTTAGTTTTGCCAATTTTCAATGCTTTGATCAGTCCATTGTTGGCAACTGAAGCAAGCGATGGATCACCGATGACAAACTCAATGTTGCGCTGAGTTTGAGGACCGCCAATAAAGTTGGCTTGAAAGTGATTTCCCACAATCAGCGTGATATTTGATGGAACAATTTGAAGAGGGGAAAAAACCTGCAACAAAATAAATTAGATCTGTCAAATCGTTCATAGAACCAGTAGTTTGAAGAACTCTTACTTGAACTTCAATAGCGCCTGATTGAACAGACTTTAGATCATCCGATTGCGATCGAATGAGCACCTTTGAAATGCCAATACTGGTGGCCTTCACCGAAAAGGAGGTGATGTAGTCGTTAATTGGCTTGATATCACTGTGAGTTTAAAATAAGGTCAGTAGAGTAAAATAAGATGTAGAGAAGTAGCAACATACCTAATTTCCAAAAAGCTGTTTGATGTGACAACATTCAGAATTGAATGCAGTGAAGAGTGCATTTTCATGCCGCGATGGTCAAGCACATAAAACGTGCCCTTGACTGTTGAGCCCAACTCAATTTTGTCGATGAGATCTAAATTAACGTCGAGTGCTTCTACCACTGAAAATGCAATTGTGTGCTTTGGATAGCTAAGGCACAGGTCTGTGATTGTAATGACGCCTGATCCAACGTTGAGCGGTACAATCTGAAAAAAATGAAAAAGTTTTAAACATAAAAAGCAAGCTAAACACACAGTAACTTACGTCAATAGTCCGACTGTTTGGCTTCATTTGGACGTTGATGATGTCTTTAGAGGTGTAATCTACTGAAAAATGTCCCGATCCCTTTTGAATTTTAATTGATTTCTAAAATGGATTTAAAATCAAATTAGGAACCAGTTTCGTTTATTACTAAAATCACATACCTTGTAAGAAGGATGCTTCAGAAGTGAAAGGTTGTCTTCTTCAGTAGCTATTGGATCAGTGAGGATGATTTCGACTTCTCGAAAGACGTCAAAGCTATCACCCCAGAACGATTCATGGTATCCGGTGATGCGGCCGCGGACCTTTGAGCGGGCAGTTGTCAGTTGAGAGATTACCTGGAAGCTTCGGGTAATAGTCGAGTACCCTTTGGCGCCAATAACTTCTTCATTGATTCCGTTTGTTTTCTGAAACTCACCATTGCCGTCCATTGACCAGTCAAAGTACAGCGAGGTAAAGTTGTAGAATGAATTGCCTTGGTCGTCTAAAACTAGCACGTCTAGCTCAATTTTACGATTTTTCTCCAGTTTGAAAACAAAGTCATGTTGCGGACATGTAGACTTGGAAAGCTTGTGCTGGATGATCAGCGTTTTTGGCTTGGAGCAGTTGATCTTTACAGTAGTTGAGGTTGATGCCGGATTCATTAGAGTAGGTGACTTTATATTGCCAGCTTCCAGCGTAATTTCCGCCTCACCGTAGTCTAAACACTTGGTGCGATACACGTGGAGTTCTTTGTTATAGCGATAGCGATCTTTGATTTCCGCTATTGAGATAAGAGAAGAATTGACAGCCGTGACTTTCGTGTAGTGGCCCTCAGGATACATCGACCACGGTCGCGGGCCACCTTCAAAGGCAATGTCAATGGAAGAGCCAAGGGAGAGAACGGGAGACTCGGTCGGCTGCATCACAACGATCGGCCCGTAACAGCCGACAATGGCTGACGTTTTGATTTCCTTGTTCTGACCATAGCTGATCCAAATGCGAGAGTTGCCAACGGCTGTGCACTCAAAGCTAAAAGACCTGCAGGAGTGCATGCCAATGCCTGGCATCACATTATTTGATTGATAGCGGACTCGAGACTGAAAAAGAAAGAAAAGTATTGTTATTTTGAGGTTTCATAAGCACAATTTCCTTACCGATTCGACGATATCAACGTCAAATGAAACCTGCACGCAGTCATCGAAGTACGCCTTCTCACCGTCGATTCCGTTGAGAAAGCCCAGCACTGCTACAGGTAGGACGACAGTGCCGCCGATGCTTGCCTCCACGATGCTTGGCAGAATTTCAATAGCCTCGATGGGCCGAATGTAGATGTTCATTTGTGAGTTGAACATCAGCGAGTTGTGGACATCATTGTAGCTGATTTGAACTTCTCCATCGCCTCTCGTGTGTACGGTGAAATTGGTTGGCACGCCGCTGTTGTACGGCAGGAGAATTCTTTTCTCATTCAGTTTGTCTTCTGCAGCCAATGACACTGCCAAAATAATCAGTGCTAAAAGGCCTAAATAAGGCTGAATTCGTAACGTGTTCATGGTGATGAAGATGATGATGATAGTAGTTTCTGGTGCGGAACTGATGAAATCACAGTCAAATAAACGTCAAGCAGACGCTTTTCCAAGCGGCTACCGAAAACAACATGCACGTGAAAACCGAAGCAATCTTTATTGTTTTTGGGAACATTTCCCACGCTGGCCCTCTAAATAAACGGGAACTTTCTCATTGTGTGAAAAAAACAAAAATGACACAATCCATTGCTCCCTGACATTTTAATTATTGTCAATGCCTACCGGCTTCCCGAACACTTTCAAGAGTATTTGAAGCTCTAGTTTTAAAAATTAAACTTTAAAGAATGCAACTGTTTTAGTGTAGTTTTAGTGTAAAAACAAGTGCCCAAAAAATGTGAGTGACTGCTGTACAGAGGAGCCGAGGTGGAGTTTGCTGACTCAGGTTACCAATGCGCCAAAAGCAGACGACTTGCCGTCTCAAAAAGGACATCGCTCTTCTTATGCTGTGTGATGGATGTAAATGCCCGAAATGGAGGCACATTTGCAGTCCAGTTTGAACTGGCCCGCCACTTTGGCTCTGCCTACCTCTGTGTGCCCAAATTAGTCAAAATAGATTGGCAAAGGCGGGGCTTGCTGTGAAAGATCGGTGAAAGATTTGCACTGTAAAGGGTAGGTGGTGCGCCGCCATTGGCCAGCGGCGAGTGAGGCACTGGCAGAGTGGCAGGTGCGGCGAGCCATGCGTAAGGAGCGCACTCTTCGCGCCGACTTTGTTCATTTTGGCACTGCTATTCTTCTGCCTCGTCGAGCACATATCGGACGTCAGATCGCCGTTATTTGCGATAATTCCCTGCTGATCACCGATCGACCACCTTTGAATCTCACGAACGGTACCTACACACTCTAGCTACTTTTGATAGCCAGCTCTACTGACACCACAGTGCGCTAATAACACTTTTATTGTTCTCCTTCACAGCCTCAACCACCGACACAAACAAAGAAAAATGTCAGGTGACAAGAAAGCCGTGGTTAAGAATGCCGACATGAGCGAGGAGATGCAGGACGATGCGATCAACACTGCACTGCAGGCTCTGGACAAGTACAACATTGAGAAGGACATTGCTGCCTACATCAAGAAGGAGTTCGACAAGAAGTACAATCCAACCTGGCACTGCATCGTCGGCCGAAACTTTGGCAGCTACGTCACTCACGAGACGAAGCACTTCATTTACTTTTATCTTGGCCAGGTGGCTATCCTCCTCTTCAAGTCAGGATAAACCGAAGCACGGCGCGACAGCTAATCTTAACAATGCTTTTGCGGTGATACGATTGGTATTCCATCTCTTACAATTCTTTATTTATTTTCATTCATTTTGTTTATTTTCCATTTTCAAGATTAATTTGCATTTTATTTCTATGACCAATCGTTAGAAATAAAAGTGGCGATTAAGATTTTAAATGCTCGTTTATTATTGCAAATGAATTTCTATTGACACTTTCACAGCGGCTTGTACCCGCTGTGGATGGCAGCAATGCCACAGGAGAGGTTGTCGTAGTCGACCAGTTTGAATCCACTCTCTTCAATCATCGCCTTGAAGGTCTCTTGGTCGGGAAACTTGCGAATGCTCTCCACGAGATACTGGTACGATTTAAAGTCATTGGAAACGACCTCGCCAATGACGGGAATCATCTGATAGGAGTACCAGTCGTAGAAGCTGAAAAGTAAACAAATCATTAGAGGGTGAATGAACTTGCCCTGAGGGCACAGATTTTACCTTTTCAGAAAGACATTGTTCACTTGGCTAAACTCCATGCACATGAATATTCCGCCGGGCTTGAGAACACGGTACGCCTCATCAATAGCCTTCGGCAGATTGACCATATTGCGAATGCCAAAGACCACTGAATAGGCGTCAAATGTGTTCTCCTCAAAGGGTAAATTGAGACCGTCCCCGTGCACCCAGTCCAGTCTGTTTGGATCCATCTTCTGCTTGGCGGCTCTCTGCTGACCGACCTTCATCATGTTCTCGTTGATATCACAGACGACCACAGAACTGGTCGAGTCGCCCTTCTCGGTGACGTAGCGAAGAAACTCAAAGGCGATGTCTCCCGTTCCGCCGGCCACGTCGAGCAGCTTTGTACCCGGATATGGGTCGAGCTTCTCGATGAAGTACCGCTTCCAAAGACGATGAACGCCCACGCTGAGGACATCGTTCATGAGGTCGTAGTTGTTGGCGACATTGTTGAAAACACCTCGAACTGCAGAAGGCAAAAGGGAGTTAGGTGAGTTAGTAGACTTCTCTCAATGCTACTCAACAAACCGCTACAACAACAGCACATACCGAATTCAAACTTTTTCTCCTCTGATTCAGTTTGGAACTGATAGGACTCCTTGTTGGGCACAGCAGTGGCCAGTGGCCGAGTGGTGATCGGTGAAACCAGCCGACCTTTTCTCAGGGAAACATTCACCGCCTGTCTCAGAAAAACACGTGGCAAGTTCATCATTTGTTGGTGTGATTGGTACCGGTAATGTTAACTTTATTTCATATATTTTTAAAGTTGAGAGTAGGTAGTAAGCATCACTTTATCACAAACGCGTGTCCCGGCAAATGATAAACAAAACAAAATATTATATGATGTAGTGCTTGTGTCTGAAGAGTAACGACATCTCCGGTGGCAGCGCCTGTCACTGCAAACAGCGTCAGTCCGCGGGTTGTACAAGTTGCACTGAGAAAAAAGTGTGTGAAGAGAAATTCAAAAGGGATGATAAAATTGCTGATTGATTGCGTGCATTCTTAAAAGCTAAAGTTGTCTTTTTGTCATTTTCTATTTTGAGCATTAGTTCTTCTCTAGAGTTGCCTTCTTTCGAGCTGTTCACCTCTCAATTTTACTGTTTCGTGGTTTATTCTTTGATGTATATCCAAGTGGTGCAGCTCCAGGCAGCAGCTTGATGACATTGCCTATTGCCTTTGTCCTGCCTTCTCGGAAGATGATCCGCATACCTGGGTGTAGGTACTCGGGATTCTTGATGAAGCGAAAGTGCACCTTCGCCTTGTCGCCTGTCCTCAGGCACTCCTGGCTCATTTCGATGATTTGCGCCGTCTGACGAATGCTGCCGCAGTGGACTGCAAAAAGAGGATCAGTTAGGCCTGAACAAAAGCAAATGCTTTAGTCACACTAACCCATCGCCTGGTAACGAGTGCTGATTGTCGTTGGATGGTGCAAGACGAGAATTTCGCCTTCAAACTCCCAGTACGCCTTTGGCTCGAGACTAGGGCACAGCATGACCATGCCTTTGCGAATCTCATTTCGGCGAATCTACGTGAAGAGATTGTTAGGAAAAAGAAGAAACAAACAAAAAAGTCATTGACATACCTTTTTGAGAGCAAACGAAGCCGTCTGTCCGCTTCTGACTTCCTTCACTGGTAATCTTTTCCGGTGGATTGATTTGATTGAAACGGGAATGAATTGGCCCAGCGAGTTGGGACCCAGCATGAGGGTATCATTTGTGGAGATGACGCCTTTCAATGTAAGTCCACTGACCTGAGTTAAGGAACAAGCGGTGAGAACTCATCGGGATCAGTGTGTTACAGAAAAATGAATACTTACCACTACGCCGACTCCTGAAACTCCGTAGATTTCATCGATTTGAAACTCCTTTGGACTGTCGTCGTAGTTAGGGGAGCGAGAGTTGAGCAGATTCAAGAACGATTTCAGGTAGTTCAAGTTCTTCCCAGTGACGTTGGAAACTTGAAAAATAGGACACAGTCGCTCAGAGACAAAGTTAGAGGCAGATATGATGACGTCTTCGTCGCTCTCCACCAGAATGGGTATCTTCCGACAACCCTGAGATTTGAGTACTTTCCTCAAGTTGGTAAGCGTTTGCTGGAGAATATTTGGCGGACACATGTCGATTTTGGTGATCACCACAAAGACGGGAATATTCAACGCAAGGGTGACACCGAGATGCTGTAGAAGGAGACAATTAGTTTTATGAACAAATAAGTTTTGTTATAAAAACAAACCTCTTTAGTCATGCCAATGATGCCCGCATTGGCGCCAATCATCAGCAAAGCGTAGTCAGGGCAGTGACCGGTCATGCCGAAAATGGTCGTCTTTAGGTACTTCTCGTGGCCGGCCAAGTCGATGAAGGTGATGACCTTGGAGGACTCCTCGCAAATCTTTGTCCAGTTGAGATTATTGCTGCCATGCAGAATGGGCTGATTCACTATTTGGCCTGTGCTGGAAAAGCCGAGAATGTCATTGCCGATGCTCGATGTCCTGCCTGTCTCCTGCTCGTGCTTATGCCTGAAGATCTTTTGCCGGGCCAAACCACGGCCGTTATCGAGCTCACAGTGCGTCAGCACGGAGAGCAGCGTCGACTTGCCACTGTCCACATTGCCCAGAACGGCGACTCTGACCTCGTGAAAGTCATTCTGCTCCGGTTTCTTCCGTATTAAGAACTCGTCCACGTAAAATTCTGAAGAGTCAATTCGCTTTCGGCAGAGCAGAGTGCAGTCGGCGTCGACTGATCTGGCAATGTCGGTGACGTTTTCGCGACAAGTCTCGAGATCATCGGTTGTACGTCCGCCCTGGCCGTCCTCCAGACAGCCTATCGATATGATAAACTCATTGTTGCACTTTAACTTGGCCTTGAAGCAGACGATGACACTCTCGATCCACTCCGGTGTGGGATGGAGGATAAAGTTCTAAGTGGAAAAGATGGTGAATCGGTTGAACTCCACTACAGTACTACTTCAGATTACCTCTCTCCTCAGTAGTTCATTCAGCTGAAGGTCTATTTTTAAGTTGCTCTCCAGGGCCACCTCTGGCGCCGAACCCTGGCGGTCGTCCTGGTGGGCCGCCAGGCCTTTCACGTCCATGAGCACAGCAGCCATTTGCGTAGGGTAGAGTGGGTGAAAATGAGATGAAAAATGGGACAAAAATGGACTACGGGCGCGAGATTAAATGGTCATCTGACAGCGATAGATTGCAAACATGTTGCGAGTGACTGCTTTGGTAAACACACAAATAGAGAACTCAGAGTGTCGGTCGCATTCGTAGCGTGTACGATTTGCAGAGGCAGAGAGTGCACGGCAGCAGAGTCTGATGGTGCAGGTGCAGGAATTGCATCAGAAGATGGCAGGCGGCGCGTGTTGGCACGTTGGCGGCGAGATTCTCGAGCGCGCGCTGCAGAAGACGATGGCTGATTTGGTGATGAGTGACAAGGGGGGAAAGGCTCCTCTGATGCCTGGTCGATGATAGCTCGTACTACTTCCGTACACATACACAAACACTGGCTCACATGCGACTAGTCAACTGCCAACACTGCCAACACTGCAGCTCCCAGCAATAATAGCCGAGATGACGTAATAATGGAGCCACAGTGTGGAGAGTTGAGTTGAGTTGAGTTGCTGTTGTCTCGGGTAGTCAGTCGGCCGTGGTAGTTTGCGCGCCACTCTATCAGCTCGAGCTGATCTGAGGCAGAGAGTGCCGATCTGTGGAGTAGAGATAACCGGTCAGTGTAGGTGAGGTGAGCTGAAGTGGCCGACTGCCCTACCGGCGCCGCAGACAACTGGAGCACGAAGAACTGAAACGGAGACACTGAAGTGAACAGCCACCCCGGCAGCCATGGCACTCTCATACACACTTGATGCTCCCTCTCCCTCTCTCTCTGCTCTCGCGTTGTCTGCTTACGCCGACTGGCCACTCGCCTTCCGCCTGCTCGATAGCATCTCCTCTCTCCCTTCCAGTGTGGATGCTTCACCGCCACGAACCACCGTTAGGCGGACTGGCACTGTTGGCATCAACCGTTCTCAGCCTCATTTTATATGTACAACGTTTATAATAAAAGGCAATAGTGTGAGTGTTAGTGTAGAACAATTTCACTAGTAAAATTAAGAGAGACAATTTGAAAAACTGTTGTGATCTAAAAGGATGTTTGTTAATTGCCTGTAATGATTGAATGTGTGTGTGTGTAAAAGTGTAGAGTGATTGTGGTGGTGTTGATGAGAGAGAGGAGGTGAGAGAGGGAAAAACAGTGTAACAACGAAAATGGTAATTAAGAACTTCTACGCAAGGAGTGTCTGCATTGGTATAAAAATAAAGATAAAATAATTTAAATGATTTAGCGATGCTTAGCTCTCGGCTGCGTAGTGTCTCTGTTAGATCTCAGATTCAGACTCGCTGCTAGACACTAGTGTTAATGTCCTTGAATGAGGAGGAATTTACAGGTGAGTTAGTATCGACATTGTTATTGGTGGCGCCGGTGGTGCTACTGCCGCTGCCCTTCACCGGTGAGGTCATCTTCGAGTTCATGAGGGTCGCCGAGACGGGAACGATGCTGCGACAGCTGGCCAGCTTCGACTCCAGAGCGCCCACTTTTCGTAACAGATCACTGACAATGTTCAGCGCGGAGATTCGCGATGAGGCGGAGAGAAGTGGAATCGGGTTGGGCGACTGCTTCGGAGTATTAGTACTGTAGTTGGGACTACCGTTCGGACTGCCGCCGGCAAATGTTTTGTTGCTCTCCGGCGTCGTTGGTCCGCCACCGCCGCTTCCGTTCGTTAGACGCTCGGAAAAGGAGTTGTTATTGTTACTATGTACAGCTGCCTTCGACTGACGGTGGTGAGGGCCAGAGGGGGTGGTGCCGCCGGTGCTGTTGTTGCATTCACCATCTCCGACAACGGCCTTTTTGTTCTTAGAGCCCTGTTGAATCATCAACTCCAGCCGAAGATCACGAGCTTCGTCCTTTAGCCTCTGTATGACCACTTGAAGTTGCTCCTTTTCGCCTATTTCACTTTCTAGTAGCTCGTTTCTCTCTATCTGCTCATTCAATCTGGAATCAAACTCGGCGAGGGTGGCATCAAGTGTTCGCTTCGCCCTGTCCAGATCATCATTCGACTGCTCCAAGTCTCTGATGTAGCTCTTCAGCTGCTCATTTTCAGTTGAAACTTTTTCGTATTTACTTTGCAGATCATTTAGCTGGTTGTGACTCTCTGAAGATATCCTCTCGAATCGAGTTCGTAGCACTTCATTTTCCGTCACCAGGTTCCGATTCTTCACCTCGAGTTCAAGGTTACGCTTCTCGTAGTTCGACAGCTGCGTCTCCAGTTCATTCTCCAGCTCACGACTACTTTGCTGGTACTCATCAAACTCCCCTTGAAGCTCTTCTAATCTGTAATGAGATAAAGAATGGAATGGTTACGTTTTTGGTGGCAAAACAACCACAACAACACAAGCAGAGTTGTTGTGCAAAAGAAGGTGTAAAAGANCAAACTCCCCTTGAAGCTCTTCTAATCTGTAAATGAGATAAAGGAGGGAATTGGTTACGTTTTTGGTGTCAAAACAACCACAACAACACAAGCAGAGCTGTTGTGCAAAAGAAGGTGTAAAAGGNATGAGATAAAGAATGGAATGGTTACGTTTTTGGTGGCAAAACAACCACAACAACACAAGCAGAGTTGTTGTGCAAAAGAAGGTGTAAAAGAAAGGTGGGTGTACCTCTTTTTGTAGTAGAGAACCTGCTTCTCGGGAGAAGCATCGTCGATGTTCTGGTTGTCGTCGTAGAAGCCATTTGTCTCGGTGTGAGACATCGCTGCTAAGGACGGTCTCACTGGGGTGGGCAGCTGCAGTGTCGGGTGATAATAGAGGTGGTGGTGGTGATGATCAGATGGGCCAGGTAGTCGGGGAGAGGCGCAGTTCAAAATCTGTGATGGCCAGTGGTAATCCAAACAGCGAAATCACTCGTGTTTACCTTGTTTCTCTGCTCTCTCTCTCTCCCTAACAGCGAATTGTCCTACAATTGGGCAAGCAGACACTCACACTTCTACAACAGCTACAACAGCTGCAGCAGCAGGACAACCACCACTACTCTCTTGCCGCTACGACGACCGCAGCGCCGCCCTTGCTCACAGGCGGCGAAGACAACGGTGCAGCTCGGCTCAGGTCGCCGTCAGCTGACGACGCCGTGGCAGTGAAAATGCGCTCCCGATACCAGAGAAGGAGAATGCGATCACTAGGCTGATGCTGACAGATCAAACTGATGCTGTTTATTATCGGTGACACGTTTAGCGTCATCATGTGACCATAGCAGCAATAGCCACCACCACATCGACGGCGGCGATCATCAGTTTTTATGAAGCAGTTACGGTCAAGCGCTCCTTCGATGGCTGTTTCTTGTTGCACTCTGTTTGATGGAAGTGGAGGTCATTCTGCAGCAGCTCGACGAGTCGCGCTATGCTCAATGACTCGCCCGCTGGCACGCCGTAGCCTTTGGAGAGGCCCAGTGGATTGGAGGGCGTCTTGCAGTCCTGGTGGACGTCCTTTCGCAGGCACTGGTCAATCTCGATGGAGCTGAAGAAGGCCACCGAGGCGGGGAGGTCGTTGAGTTGGAGGGCCGAGGTGAAGTAGGCTCGCGCCAGCAGATTGGACAGCTGCAGCGCCAGTGCCGCCTTGTACTTGTGCTCCTCGCGAACAATGTACCGAATCTCGTCGTGGATGCTAATGGAGAAGCGGCCGTCAATCTGGAACTCGGCCATGAGCCACTTCATGCACACCAGGAGAATGTGCAGAAAGTCCACCGCCGAGCTCTGCACCACCCAGTTGATGCGACTGGTCATGAAGTCGTAGCCGACGACGGACGGCTCCAGCGCCCGGCTGATGCGCCCTCGAAGGAAGGGCGTCTCCGGGTGCTCACTGGTGGCGATCGCCTCCAGCCTGTTGAACATGTGCGACTCGGTGCCGTTCGCCCACTGGCGCACCACCCTCGTCGCCTCGCCGCCCTCGTAGTGGGTGAGCCTCCTCTTGACGCCCTTCGTCTCCACAAAGATCTTCTTCGCCTTCGACTTGGCCTCCTCCTCGCTCAGATTGGGGTTCGACTGGCGAAGGAAGCGGGCGGCAAAGTCCGGTCCTGAGCCGTAGATGCGCGCGTAGTTGAGCACCTTCGCCTCGTCTCGGCTGATGTTGATGGAGTTGGCCGTCACGCTGTGCATGTCAGTGCCCTGCGCCTTGTCGCCCCTCAGCGTCATCCAGCCCAGCCCCGTGGAGCCCTGAATGCCGCTGAAGTGGGCGTCGCCAATGAGTGCGGCAATCCACAGCTCTTGCGAGTCGACGTCTGCGCCCACGTAGCAGTAGCCGGGCGGGCACTGGATGATGCCCTTCAGCTCACTGCCCAGTCGGTCGGCGTATGAGTTGCTGGCCGTCAGCCAGGTGGGCTCCACCGCCCGGCGGGTGACCGTGCCCGAGACGACGACTCGCGGCACAATGCAGCCGTCGCCGGTGGCCGAGTCGTAGGCGATGACCAGCTGCGAGAGGATGCGCTTCGAGGAGTTCACCCAGTAGGAGATCTTGTTCTGCTGCAGCACCAGGTCCTTGACGGTGCTCAGAAAGGGTCGCAGTGTCCCGTCGGCTATCTTTGAGATAAAGTCCTGAAAGATGGCCATAGAGAAGTAAACGGAAATGAAAGGAATCTGTCTTTTCTCTCTCTACACTTTACCTTGCCGAGAGGATTGCCCACCTTTCGGTTTGGCCCGTCTTTGTGAGGTAGTTTGAAGAAGAGGCACCCCGGCACAATGCCCTTGATTCCCTCCTCCCGTTTCAGACGGTCCACCTCCATCTGATTTGCCTTTGCCATCTCCAGCATCTGCTCCATTGGGCCAAAGTGGGCCTGGCTCTCGTCGTCCAGCAGCTGCGCCTCATCGGGCACCAGGTACCCCCAGCCGTAGACCTTGTCGTGGTACAGCGGAAAGCCATTCCACATGAGCTTGAGCAGCTTTGGAATGGCACGCAGCTTCGGACTGATGTTCAGCTGATTGGACTCAATGATCGTGTCAAAGTCGACCTGGTCGAGTTTGTTCAAGTTGCGCGAGCTCTCGCAAAACTCGAGAAACCACTTTGGGTAGCCGGGCAAAAGGGGCTGATTCTTCTTGAGGTGCTTTGCCGTGTCCATTAACGTCTCCACCAGACTGCTACTATTGCTGTTACTTTTCGATTTCGTCGGCTTTTTCGAAAGCTCAAAGCTTTTTTTGAAGCCCACCGGACGAGTGCTCCAGTCGAGGTCCCACAGCCAGGGGTCCTTTAAATAGTTGTCACCTTGGAGGTAGCTGCAGGAGTCGCAGGCAATCTCCTTCAGCGTCTGATTGATCTCGCCCTTGTACTCTTCGTAGATGGACGTCGACTCGTTGAGGTAGCGTTTCCAGGTGCGCTTATTCACCGGCAGGTACATGACGGACATCTCCATCATGCCCACCAGTGTCACTGGATGGGGAAAGCGTTCGACAAAGGTGGGAAAAAGGGACTTTAGTATCTTTAGCGTAACGGCGACGTCGTTTGAGCAGTAGTCAGTCAACGGCTGAAAGCTGTGATACACGTCGGCCAGACTGCCCTTCACAAATACATTTCGCGGATCCTTGTCGACGTTCTCCTCCGTTTGGCAGTACAGCTTGTAGACGTCGTTGAGGTTGTTCAGTGATGAGATCGAGTTCCACGGATTGCCATTCCGAATGGCGAATATCTTCTGGTCTTGGTTCAGGCCTGAGACGGCTATATGCAGGCTCATCGTGTCGAGGAAGCGCGTTCCGTCGAGGTCAATGTTGTACTGCTCTTTGATGTACGACCGATCGAAGCTGACGTTGTGGCCGACAATGAGTCGCTCGCCACTTTTCCACTGGCCCATTGGAATGAGGTCCTCCATTGAGATGTCGTCGATTGAGCCAAAGATGGGCCTCGTTTCGGTTGCCTCCGTGTTCAGGTTGATCAGAGTGTCTCCGCACCAAGAGTACCAGGCCGCCGGTGTGAGTGCCACCGCCAATGTAGGCCTGTTGTTGTTGCTTGCCTCCATGCAGACTTCAATGTCAAAGACCACTGAATCTTCAAGCGGGAACTGGACAGCTTCGCTCAAATAGCCACCGTTCCCGTCGAGAGTGTATCGCGTCCATCCGCGACTAAAGCTCCACTCTTTGGGCCTGTTTTCCAGTAAACTGTCAGGAATTGTCAGCAGACTGTGAACACATTTTAGGTAAGGTGTCGAGTACGTTCGGCCAAGCAGTTCCAGGTGATCAGTGACGTTGTTGTTCTTGAGCAGAGGCAAATACTTTGCCACTCTTTGCCAGGGATACTCGAACGACTGACCGGAGGCACTGCTGAACTGATCACTGGTCGTTTTAAACTGAACATTCTCAATGGACTTTTTCAGTTGACTTAGAATGTAAGTGGCGTTTACAGTTGAATTCTTATGCGGAAGGGCGCCAAACAGTTTTTTGTGCAACAGTTCAGGGATCATCTGAATTCCAATCGAGTTCACTCTAAACGGAACAAAATAGAGTTTGGTTAGTATAAACTTAATCCTTTCGCTTTAGTTTCAATAATCTCTCTTATCTACCGGAGTTTGTCCATGGCGCATTGTGGTCAACTGTTGCAAAGAAGTTCCAGTCCGTTAACCAGACCGCGCATCAGCAGCTGTTTTGCTGCGTTTGTTTTGAATGATGTTGCCGGCTATTGTGACCCATTTGCAGTTTGTACAAAGAAAAAAAGCAACGCAGCCGCAACGTGTCCACAACGACAATTTGTCTACAAAAGGCCATCTCTATTCTTGTTACTCGCATCATCTTCAGCCTTGCATCATCCCGTCCTCTCGATCACCACCACCAAAACAATGGTTCTCGATTTGGATCTATTTCGTGAAGATAAGGGCGGATGCCCGGACCGCATTCGCCAGAATGTCAAATCCCGTTTTGATGACGTCGAAGCCGTCGAGAAGGTGATCAGCCTAGACACCAAGTGGCGAGGCTTGCGGCACAGCCTAGATCAGCTGAACAAGGCGAAGAATAAGATCTCCAAGGAGTACGGCAATAAGATTAAGCTCAACAAGCAAGCGGGAGGCAACAAGGGAGACGAGGCGGCTGCTCCTACTACGCCGGCCGCCGCCAACGAGACGAAAACCTTTGAGCTAGCTGAACTTTTTGAGAAGATCAATGAAATTGACGCCAGCCTCACGTTGGACAACTTAAAGTCGATGCGCCAGCAAGTGGAGGACAGGACGATCGAAGTGACGAAGGAGCTGAACGAACTGGAAGAGACGCGAGATTCTATTTTGCGTGAAATTGGCAACCTCCTTCATCCTGATGTGCCCATCTCCAATAACGAGGACGAGAACGCCATCGTTCGCAAGTGGGGCGACTTTGACTTTGAGAAGAAGGGCTTCAAACTGCTTTCGCACATTGACCTGATCCAGAAGATCGGCGGCATGGACACCGATCACGGTGCTGACATTGCCGGCTCTAGGGGCTACTTTCTCCGCGGACCCGGCGTCTTTCTGCAGCAGGCTCTCATTCAGTACGCCCTGCGCTTCCTGGCTGACGCTGACTTTATCCCGCTGTACACTCCCTTCTGGATGAAGAAGCCGCTGATGGCGGCCGTTGCTCAGCTGAACCAGTTCGATGATGAGCTGTACAAGGTGGTGTCGAGCAAGGACAGCGAGGATAGCGAGGACAAGTACCTGATTGCCACTTCGGAGCAGCCCATCTGCGCGGTGCACCGAGGGGAGTGGATGAACCCTGACTCGTTGCCGATCAAATACGCCGGTCTGTCGACCTGCTTTCGCCAGGAGGTGGGCGCTCACGGCCGTGACACGCGAGGCATCTTTCGGGTGCACCAGTTTGAGAAGGTGGAGCAGTTCATCATCTGCTCGCCGAACAAGTCCTGGGACCACTTCCACGAGATGATCGCCAACTCGGAGGCCTTTTACCAGTCGCTGGGCATTCCCTACCAGGTGGTGGCCATTGTCTCGGGCGCCCTGAACAACGCCGCCGCCATGAAGTACGACCTCGAGGCCTGGTTCCCCGGCTCGAAGGCCTTCCGCGAGCTGGTCTCTGTCTCCAACTGCACCGACTACCAGTCGAGGCGGTTGCAGATCCGCTTTGGACAGTCCAAGAAGATGACCGGCCAGGTGGACTACGTGCACATGCTGAACGGCACAATGTGCGCCATCACCCGCGTCATCTGCGTCATTCTTGAGGTGTACCAGACGCCCGAGGGCATCAACGTTCCCGAGGCGCTGGCGCCCTTCCTCCCGGCAAAGTACTCCAAGTTTATTCCATTCACCAACTGATGAAACTGGCTGATGTAATCTGTACATTGTTGAGAGCATTCATGTTGCCATCTTGAATCTGGTGTCAGTATTTGAGCTGTCACTCTATCAGTAACTGAAACTGACTACCAAAAGGCTATCTAGATCTATACATTGAACAATTGTATGCGGCAAACCTTTTTTAATTAAAGATAACGGAAGACTTTTTTCACCTCCGCCGTCGGCGACTTTTTATACCGACCGACAGCTATTTCCACTGCCACCGGCGAAAACGTCGGTTTGTTTTCGCAAAAATATTTTCGCGCACGAGTTACATTTGTTGAACAAAAAATCGGTTAATTTTCTAGTCCTCGAGTTCCTCTTGACCGAACCCTATTCACCCACCAGAATGGAAGAAACAGGCGACCTGGAGGATCGCTCCTGTGCTTTGGAGAATTTTCCCTCCACCTATGTCGACCTCTCAAAGCTGACCGAGAGCACACTGCCATCGCTGTCGATTGAAGAGTCGCAAATGGATCACGATTTTCTCCTGAAAGAGTATTACGAAAAGATGGACCAGCTGAGGAAAGAGAATTTTGATTTAAAGCTGAAAATATATTTACTCGAAAGTAATGAACCGATGACGCCAGAATCAGGTATGGAACAGGTATTTGTTGGTGTTTGACATTTGCTAACCATTTTGTTTTTCATCAGAGTTGAAGTTTAAAGTTCTCAACGAGTTTGAGAAAAAGAATAATGAAATTAAAAGCTTGAAAGAGAAGCTTGAGAAGCAAAGTAAAGAAAATGTCAAACTGAAAAAGCTGGCTGATAACAGAGGAGAAATGGAAGTATACGTGGAGAACGAGCAACTAAAGACAAAGCTGTCAGAGGCAGTTCAAATTTGCTCTGAACTGGTTCTCAACACTGAACAATTAATTCAACTAAATAATAAGGGCGTTGATAAACATAAATTAAACATCACTAAAGATTGCATTGACAAGGCCACAGTATTTTTATCAGGTAATTTGCTTTACTCAAACACTCAAATACTAAATTCTAATTTCCTCTACATCTAGATTCTGCGTTTTCCAAGCTCGAGTCAAGCGGAATTATTAAGAAAATTTTAGACAGAAAAACGAATCCGATCTCAAAACCTGTTGATAATCGACCTGTCAAAACAAGCTCTACTGTCACTACAGGTTCTGCTGATGCTAGAAGCTGTCAGACAAACGGACCAAATGCGCAGAGCACTCAAGAAGCCATACTGAAGGAGTTTATGGGAGTAGTGTCCAAGTTGCGCAGTCTGATTGATGATTTTCGGGCGAACCGACTAACGTACAAGGACTTTTCCACAAAGCTGGATGACCTCTTTGAGACGCTTGACAAGCAGTATCGATACCTGGAGCAGCTTCAACTGAGCCACCTGGAAAGTGACAGCCGTCTAAAGTCAGCTGAGAGGATGCTAAAGTACGAGGCTGCCCTCAAAGATCGAATCAAAGTGGACTTGGCCAAGAGCATGAATAAGCTTGAATCGATCATTAGCAAAACTAAACAAATTGCCTGACGTTGCATGTGAAGGAGGTACTGAGGAAAGAGGGGGGCTCTGATGAGGAGCATCTATCGACGAATACAACAATTGCACTGCTACCATTTCCACGTAAGACCGATGTGACGATGTGAAAGTACGCGTGAGATAATTGGGCGATAGCACAATTTGCACATTTTTATCATTCGTTGTGCAACTTTGGTCAGGCACTTTCCACTGCCGTCAGCATTGGCTAGACAATGGCGCCTTCAGCAGTCTTGGCCAGTACTCATTGAAGCACCACACTATTATACAAATATTACTAACTAACTTCGACGACATTAAACGCTCGCGCACGCGGTGATCTTTGCTCGTGGTAAGAGAAAGAGCACGAGGCTTGCCTTTGCAAAATTCAGCTTGGCCAGTATGATCATATGAGCCGACAAGAGTGCGTGCAACTTACTGTGCTTGCAAGGACTGTCTCTGTAGCTGTCTGTCGTCCACTGGCGTACACTCGTCGTCGTCGAAGTACTCCAAAACACACCGACAGCATGTCATGACTGGAGTCAATCCTGCAATCACCAGTTGCCGTGGTAGTGGTAGTGGTTGTCAAAGTCAAGAAGTATCTTCTCTTCTCTACACACTAACTTTTATCTTCTGTGGCAGTGGCTTCTCTGGCAGTGGAAGCATAGGACAGCAGAGCACATTGAAGCACAAGAAGAAGAAGTAGAAGCACAGCGGTAGTAGTAGCACCCAGAGCGGGGAAACAGGCTAGCACAGCCGCAAACACGTGCGTTTGTGTGCTCCAGCAGTTCCTTCAGAAAAGCACCAGCAGCAACAGCTCCTGACGTCTAGCGCTCAGCTCTCTTCACTTTTCTCTGCGAGTGTTTAGTCCGTCAAACTTTTTATTCTTCTTCTTCTTCCTCCTGTTTTTCCTGGAATCGACCACTCTGGTCCACAACCACTGTCCGGCGACGACGACTACACTTGTGCTCCTGCTGGGCCTCCTCTTGCCCAGCTCTAGCACTCCTCCTCCTTCTTCTCCTTCTTCAGTGCCCCTTGCCCACACCACGTGGCTGTCACTTCCTCCACATGCCTCCACAGCACTTCTCAACAGGCCACAGCACTCTTAGCTTCAGTTGACTTCGCTCTGTGCCACTATTCGCACGCAGACCGCACTGGCGCGCAAGCTGACAGGTCGGGCCCCCACGCTGCACTCACTCACTGACAGATGCCCTGCTAACTTCGCTGTAAGACTACTTCTCTAAATTGGAATTCCACGTGTTTTTACAATTGTGCTCCAAACTCCATCTCACCTTCTGCGGACCTCACCTTTGCCCTCACTGAACTGGATCCACCAGCAAACAACCAGCACCATCAGCTTTATCATCAGCCCCAACTGACTGGCCAACAAATCTCGTCCACTGGCGCCACAGGCACACTTCAGCAACAAGCACAAGCGCAGACAATTGGGTCGTAATGAAATGTAAAAAAGGTAAGCTCACAGCATCTGCGCTCGCGCGAGTAGTGAATCCGGCGGTAGGGAAGCTGAAGGCACACTCAGTCACTGCTTCAGCCGCAGCAAATGTCAGTAAGAGATGTCAACTGCACGGCTGATTGTACGTCACGTCAATCGGTGCCTGCCGTCGCGGCGGCAAGTACATTTGGCGGTGTCGGCGTCGGTGTCGTCAGTGGTAGTGCATGTGCCTATGTAGTGGCGGCATCAGCAGAAACGGCATCAGTACCGAATAATGTATTTTTAGCAAACCGTCTGCTCCGAAAGAAGGACCGACCATTCTGTCAACTGACTAACTGAGACTCGAAACTTGCGAAGCTCGCTCTGACTCGAACTCTCACTGACAGGCACATTGAGTATTTTTGGAGACACACTCGGGCTGGCACAGAAGCGGATAGATGGACGCATTCAGGCCGATTAAAGTTTGCTTTTGGTGTGGCAAAAAAATGCCAGATATTCCAGTGCTACTTTGTATGTGTCACCGAGCCTGGCAATTACACTTGCTCACTTGCTCCGAGTGAGTGCCGTACTTCTTACGTGGCCTCGAAGCCTTGGCACGATCCGCCAGCAGAAGATGTGGCAGTGTTCTCTCTGCATGTTCGCCTGTACCGAGAGGTTGACGAGCAGAACGAGCAGAGGAAAGGGAAGAAGAAGAAGACTACTCGTTCATGGAGGCTATTTAAATCGACAACAGAAAAGTATCATCACCAGCTTGCGGAACCACGCTGCAACTGTACGCTCGACTGCAGCAACAGCAACAGTTGTAGTGTCAACTGTCAAATTGCTCATCGTGGAATCCTTACTTCACACGGCGAGCACAGTAGATAAACTGGTGGAGGACGGTGCAGGCGTCATATGACGACAGTGAATCAGTGGATCAGTTCATCTGTCACTTTACGAGTTGGAGGCTAGTCCATCGGTCAGCAGCACCACCATCATCGACACACTTGTCGGCGACAGCTCTGCTTCTGGTGGAGGCCAATTGACACCGATTGGAGGCAGGCATTCACTCTGAATGAGTGAAGAAGCAGCAGCAGCAGCCAACAAACGACATGACAGTCCGCATCGTTGGCAGCCAGGCAGACAGAGACTGGCAGTGCTGTGTTGTTGGCAGCAGTGGTCCTCGCCATCGCCACCGCTCGCATCCTCTTGTGCTAATCTGTTCGGCTCGATACTGCAATTAGTACGCTGTTATATCGCTCGTTATTGTGCAAAGTGTCTGACCCAGTTTCGCTCATTCACTCGTTCGCCCGCTCGCCCCTCTGTGTGCGCATTTGTTGCTATTTCTTGTTCCTGCACACCGAGTGAACATGGACGTCTTTGATCTTGCTTCAGCCTTGCCTTCCATCCATCGCAATCCATTCGCCACTGGCATCTGTTCTCACTTGTCGTTTCTGTGTGCACTTTAAATGGCGCTTGGCGTTTTTCGACTGCCGTAAGAAGACACGCACAGACCTCTCAGACAGGCACACACTGTACTACATAGTCTGACTGCCGCCATACTGATGTTCACCTTCGCACTGCCTGCCCTGTATACAGACAGAAAAAGCTTGTACAAACTGCTGCTGATGCAGATGCTGACCTTTGCCGATTGTGCCTCTTCGAGGCACTCTCACTTCGAGACGATGTTCTGCATTCAATCAGACGGTGAGGTCTACTTTTTGTGCTGTTGGCGCCTGCCTTGCTCTCAATTGAGCAGCATCATCGGCCATGTACTGCACCGAACTTGGGCACGTCATCCTCCCACTCAGTGAGCAGTGCGGTAATGCACCTATTCGCCAATGGCTGAATATATCCTCCAGCGGAGACGGCGTGCTCTCTCGCGCTCTTCTCTCCCTTCTCCCTTCTTCTTCTGCTGCTGCTTCCTGTCTGGCAGCTGCCCGGCATCGCTGATCGACAACGTGGTCGTGGTGGTGGCGGTGCTGCTGTCTCTGCTGCTGCTGCTGGCAGGAGTACTTTTTGTCAGTGTCGTCAAGTGTCACCTAATAGGCCAATTATTATGGCAGTAAGCAGATAGTTAAGAGCAGCAGCAGTAGAATCAACCGCTGCTGCTTCACCTTTTCCAAGTTTGCTTACACAGCAAAAGCAGTATTATATCCTTCCGACTTATCGAGAGAGAAGCAGCGGCAGCAGTGACAGTAGCAGGAACAGCAGTACCATCAACTGAACCATCTCGGTCTGATAATAAATCCAGCTTGCTTGGCGTACATTGCGCCAGGAATGCTATCGCCACCGGCAGCAACCGCACAACTGCAGCGGTGCATGTTTTGGCACTAATCAGCGTCCCTTCATCTCTCATCCCTCACTGACTGGTTACAAAACCCATGCTGCACAGACTGGGATACAGCCTTCTACTTTTTCACTGTCTTCTGCAGTTGTCAAAGTGCATTGTGGTGGAGATGCGACGACCAGTACAGCTGCAGCTTCTGCAATTGATTATGCCAGGCAGGCAGTGATTAGAAAGCAGTCACTTCTGCAGTCTGCCTGTTTGTGGTGGTGGTACACTAGGCACTGCTATCTACTACGTCACCATACGGAAAAGAGTTGATGATGGGCAATTGCCGTGTATGCACTTCGCTCTCTTTCTCTTTCTCCTCTGTTTTGAGCATCGTCTGTATGTGTTCCTCTGCGAGCGACACTTATCACTCACTCATTCGGCCGCCATGCATCGCTATGGAGTGTCCTCGCCGAGCGAGGATCCTCGTTCGTTCCTTCCCTTCTCCCGTTCTCCCTCTTTCTGTGTTGTATTTATGGTGCGACTGCGGCAGACAGGCAGAGCACGCTGTCTTAGAGTTGCCTTAGTTCAGCAGTCAGTCGCACTGTTTCCTGTCAGAGCTGCACGAAAAGCCTCAAGTACAAGTCAGTGCTACTGCCTCTGCTGATGCTACTGCGACAGTGCTAACCTTTGCAGCAATTGAAATGACAGCGACGATTATGGCGATGCGATGGTGATGGTGATTGCATCGAGGGGCACAGGCTGAATGAAGACAGTTGCAGAGCAGAGCTGACTGGATTGCAGCTGAGACGGCACCATTTGGAGTGAGCTTGTGGAGCACTCGAGCAAGGTGCTGCTCCTGCTGACGTTTGCTGGACTGCAGTCATCAGAGGAGTAGTGTGCTGATCACTCTAATCAACTGCTGCTGATGTGCTTCTCTTTCCCTCCCAACAGCCGTTGTTCGCAGTGGCAGTGGTATCTCTCGAGGACAAGGTTGCCTCCACACGCTGAGAGTGAAAGTGGAAGTGCCACTCAGTGGAGCTGCTGCTGGTCGACTGTGCCAACATGCGCTGGCCTCAGTCTGGATCAGCAGCTCAGTCCCGATTCGGTGGTCGTTGTGTGTTGACACTGGCACAATCTGCATGGCCGCATCTCCGCGTGCTCTAACTGTCAGTCTGTCTGTCACAACACTCTCTGCTCTGTCGACATCTTCCACTTCCTTATTTCCTGTTTACCTGTTCAGTGGTGAGGCCTCCTCGCGCAGAGAGGCACCGCTGAACAGTGCCTGCGCCTTGCTCTCTTTGCTCTACGACGCAGATGCACTTGTTGCGGTTGCCGCTTGCTTGCTTGCTTACTGGTCGATTTGTCAAAGTTGTTGGCGCAGGCTGTGTGTGTGAGAGAGTGTTGTGGCTATCGCTCCCCGATCCGCGATCGTCTTGGCACTCGTGAAATGGAAACTAGGCACACACACACTCGATTCACTCGTTTCGATAATTATAGCACATGCTCCTCCTCGAGGATTGTGGCGGCAAACAGACGGCAACGCCACCACCACCGCATTGTTATTAGCTGCCGACTTACATATCCATTAAGTGAGTGTCGTATTTAATTTAGGATACTAGCCTTATTTGGTGCTTTTGAACCGCAGTCGAGCGCGCGCGCGTTCTCTCACTGTGCAGGAGAAAGTAAGAGAGAGAGAAAGAAAGCGAATGAGCCCGCAATCTGGCCTGGCACTCTGGCGTCTGGCGCCAATCGGCACTTCTGCGCGCCCGTCTGAGGGGAGGCGAAGGGAAAGACATCGAAAGAGAAAGAAAGAAAGTAAAGGAGAGAAGGAGAGACACAAGTCACACGGCCAGACACCATACACTCATCGACTGGGCTGCTTTGTTGCCGTGTCTGATGTTGTCGATGTCACTCCGAGTTAGACAGTTGTTGCTTCCTTTTGTCAAAAAAGATCTGTTGGCAGTCCAGCAGCAGTCAACATGGCTTTGTTTTTGTTGTTTCCCTGGTCGCGTAGTAGTATTTGCGCTCGCAACCATTTTAATGCTCGCGGATGATCACCAGTGGTGCTGGTAAGGGGTGGTAAGCGACTGTCACTTGTCGCCATTGATGATGATGGCCTACTGAGAGAGACTAGCCGTACATGAGTGCGCACCGTCTTGGACAGCTGCTGTACACAGTCAGGCTGATTTATCTGTCGGTTCGCTTAGCTAAGCGAAAGCTGCAACACACTTGTGACTTGCTTCTGCTACTGATGAACACCTCAACGAGAAGCAGCACATCTGCGACGCCTCGCCTCGCACACTGAACACTCGGTGGAAGGTCATTTCGATGGCTGGCTGGCTGACTTACGAGCTGTCTGCATATGTCGCCACACTGTCTCACCGCCTGTACAAGTCTCGGACAATGAGCGACCTTGGCACTGTCGTCGCAGACACACACACACACACACACAAATACTTTTAACTCGCACTGAAAAAAAGTTGTAAAAGAAGGCAAGAGCAGTAGCAGCGGCAGTGCACCTCTGTCGCCGTCCTCTCTGCTGCCTCCCCCGTCGCCCAGTGATTGTGATCGAAGAGAAAGAAAGTGCAGCCAAGAGCATCTATCAACGCTGGCAGACCCACTCTCACTCTCAGGTAGCGAAAGCGAAAAGGAGACATGTGACTGACTAAGTTGTACATCGCAGTGCTGCTACCGGTGGTGGTAGCAGTGCTGTCTGTCTGCCTGATCGTCTTTGGCGTTTAAGGCAATGGTCTCCTCTTCTCCAATGCAGACCGTACAGACAGTGCCGTTCAATGTGATATGTGTGTCGGCGTGTCTGACAGTGAGTACTTTCACTTTCTACACTCTCTCTCTTTCGGGGCTGTCTTTCCTTTCTCCCTGACTGACTGACTGACAGTCACACCGTGTGTTCTGCCTGCACTGAAAGTGTGTGCTGCTTCGAATTGGCCTCTGAAGAGCGCGAGCTGCAGCTGAATGGGCTGAATGAGCGTGTTCTCGCGGTGGTGTGGATGCTGATGCTGATGGTGGTGATGTCGTCGCGGAGAGTGCCTGTCCGTCTGGGGACACACCGTTAGACGACGATGTCGTCGCCGTCACTGTCGTCTCCGTCAGTCACACACCGACTCCGTTGCTACTCTTTTACTTTTCCTCCTTCTTCTGCTTCTTCTTCTTCTTCTATCGCACTACCGCGTGACCAACTCTGATCTCCCTTTCTCATTTCTCACTCTTCACTTTCTCCTCCTCCTTCTTCTCTCCTCTTGTACTCAGAGCTTATCTCTCCAGGCAGCTCCAGCGGCAGCAGCAGCGGCAGCAACTCCGACAGCAGCAGTGGCAGCACAAACGTCAACGCCATCATCGAGAGGAACCCTCACTTCGAACACCTCCACGAGCACGAGCACGAGTCACATCGAGCAGGCAGCAGCATGTCTTCGAATCGCAAACGACGCGGCAACCTCCCCAAGGAATCCGTGAAGATTCTGCGCATGTGGCTCTACGAACACCGATACAACGCCTACCCCTCTGACCAGGAAAAGCAGTACCTCTCACAAATGGCCAATCTCAGCGTGCTACAGGTGCGTCCACACACTCATTCCCTCTCAATGACAAGTGAAAAGAGGTTTTTCCCGTTTCTGTTCACTAACCGTCTCTGCTGTCTTACAGGTCTGCAATTGGTTCATCAACGCACGAAGGAGGATATTGCCGGATATAATTCGCAAAGAAGGAAATGACCCTCTGAAATATACGATAACACGCAAGAGCTCCAGCAAACGACAACATGGTGATTCCCATATGTCGCCAGGTTCAGATTATGGCTTTGGGTGTCTACTCGACAATCAAGGGTACGCTAAACAGGCAGCAGCTTTCTTTTCCTTCTCCCTCTCTTTCCCTCTTTTCCTCCCTGCACGCACTGCCAACTGTCTAATCGTCTGTGTTGACTGTTATCACTAATGCGCTGGCGCTTTCCTCGTTTCTCTTGTCTTCCGCAGTAGCAACCACGACGATGGCTTCAGCTCCAACGAAAGTGACCTGGATGGAGACGTTGACTCGGACAGCGGAAGCTCCACCAGCACCGCCAACTCTAATGCCAGCACCTTCAGTCGCAACCTGAGCAATTCTTCCTTCAGTGGTAAGTTGTCTGCCTGTCACATTGCCTTTAGTATGTGCTAATTATTCACTCATCTCACTCCTTCTTTCCCTCTCCTCACCCTCAGATCCTCATTCTCCCATAAAGCTGACGAAAAGGTGGCGCCAGAACCACGAGGAAGAGCAGCTGCAGCAGGCGGAGCACTGCTTCGAGCCAAAGCGGCCCACCCTGCTCGACCTGAGCTTCGCCTCGAGCGGCCTCTGTCCGAACAGCAGCATCGTCACCTGGCTCAACCAGACCTCCAACAGGGCCCTCCCCAGCGACTACTGTCCGGTGGGCGGCTCTGAGATGTCCTCCCTGAGCGACCACTCTCTCTCCTCGCCCACCTCCTCCTCCTCGCTCTCCTCGGGCATCGAAGGGGACGATCCCTTTGGCTGTCTCTACCTGCTCGCCTCTGCCGCAGTGGAGAGGTTAAGCAGTGCAGACCACCTGAAAACCGTCACCCTCAAGACGTAGTGGACAGTGGTGTGGCAGTGTACCAGAGACCACCAGCACCACCTCCCACCACCCACCACTACCACCTTAGGCCTTTTATCATCTCTAACTTTAGCTCTACTCTACCTCCTTCCCCTCCTTTCCCTTCGTAAATACTGCATTTAGTCTTCTTCCCCTCTGCCCTCAGCCTTCAGCCTTGTCAATCAGTAGTTTCCTTTATTCGGTAGTCATCAACGAACCATTTAATCTTCAGCTCTACTTCGTTGCCACCACAAGTGCCACCCAATTGCTCAGACTTGAACAGCCCTTCTCTCTCTCTCCCTTTCTGCTCTACGAGACCGTCTCCAATCTATATCAAATCGACTCAGTTTCCTCGCACTCTAACCGACTGCTCTACACTGTTTGCCTTACTACTTTGTGTGTGCCTATTTGTCGTCTTCATTCTGCCTGGTCTTAACACTGATCATCCCGCAAGTGATCACACCATTTGCCTACTCTCTTTCTCTCTTTTGCACCACCTTTCTTCACCTCTTTCTCACGTTTACATGACCCTTGTTACCACAAACAATCACACACACTCTATCCGATTAGGTTATCTCATAATTTGTTTTGTTTTCCCTTTTATTTAGCTTTTCACCCCTTTTTTGTACTCCATATATTTCTTGACTCAATTACCATACGTTTTAGTTATTATTATTACATTAATTTCTCTATTTTAAACTTACTCTCTATGCTCCATTTTACTCTCTCAGCACATTTTAAAGCACAAGACAGACTTGACATGTGCGGCCTTGGATCTCTCTTCCAGATGCTGCACTCTCTCCCACTATTTTCTTTGTAAGCGCAGTTATTAACCTAGTCAGACACTCTGAACTCTGTTACCCTCCTCTCGTCTCAAGCCATTCTGTCAGCAGTTGCACACATGGTCAATTCTTTGTCGGCTTTGTTCCCCTTTTTTGCCCTCTCTTTGCCTCAGCCCTGCAACCAGCTGCCAAACCGTCTCTGCTGGCGAAATCAACCAGGAAAACAATAAAAAAGTAATAACTTACTAGGTGCCACATTAATTCTGCACATAATGCCTTCTCTCTCAAGTGCCACTGACATGCTCACCTTCTTTTCCCCTTCCTGACCTCTTTGGCAATCGCACACACCCACTTCTTTTGCTCAATTCTCCGCTCCAAGGCCATATTCTGCTACTACTACCTACTACTGCTGCGGGCACACCCATCCCATAAAAACACACTTATTCGTTACATATCTGTTGTTACCCAGACCGATACAACTCACACCCACCAACAACACACACACACACACACTGACTGTATTATATAACTGATGATTTCTCTAATCTGTTCTAGAATAAAGCCCTTTCTAATCAAATGACAGCAGCTTGTGTATGTGTGTGCATGCACCGTACTTTAATCTTTCATTTTCTGACTGTCAGTTGGCCCACTTGCCACACTGTCTTATCAGCGGAGAAACTGTCAGTGCAGCACCCCAACACAAGGGATGAAGTGGCACTCATTAGGCAAAGGAGAAAGTAGACTGAATCAGTTGTCACATGAGTAGTCACTCGGTATTATTGCTGATGCCCACACTAGTGAGCATTGGCACAAGACACACACAATCAATCAAAAGGCACACTTGATGGCGGTGGGATACCGGTTGTCGCTTCCCATTGATAGAGCGCCAACTGTAAAAGTGGCTAGCACCAGCACTATTTCATTCAATGGCACACTGTCATATGATGAGTATCACTGGGGAGTGACCTTTGCACAATTTTATTTACTAGCTAGATCTGGGTGTGCACTACCGCAACACTTTATCCACATCTGTCAGACTTCAACAGGAACACACAAATAGTTGGCTACTCCACAACGGGGAACGTAGCATCAGTGAGCACGCCGCAGTTGTTGTTCTTCTGGTTAATTAGCACATAGCCATCGTTGCCCCTGTTTTAAAGTGAAAATGCATGTTTAGTCAAACGGCAAACACACTAAACCAGCTTACCAGTAGGTAGACCAGGAGTTCTTAATGAGCCAGTACTTCTCACCCTTCAGCTCACCGTAGCCCACAGCGAGGACAGAGTGGTCGAGATCCTTGGACGAACACTTGGGATCGTAGTAGATGCCGTGTGAGTAAAAGGTAAACGACTTCTGCGAGGCGTCAATGGACACGGTGACGGGGCCATTGTTGAAGAGTGCCACCCTCATCGCTTCTGGGTCATATTGAGTTACATTGTAAAATCCAGTCACCTTGACCGCCTTCTTCACCGCCTTGTCGTGGCACCTGCCGTCCACTCCCAGATACGGGCCATAGGCGTCCTCAGTGGAGATGCCACCGACCTTCATGATATACTCGTACGACCGGAAGTCCTCACCTCCATCACAGCCATTGTTCGCCTCTGACCAGCTGCAGTCGATCAGCTGCTGCTGAGACAGTCGTAGCAAATTGCCCGTTTTCACAAAGTACACACCTTCAATTGTGCCAGTGGTGCCTGTGTTGGGATAGTTCAATCAGTTAGTTGATGATCACCGGTTGCTTAGATCTTTAAGTGGATGGCACTTACCAAAACTCCAGCCTACGTTGTGGTATTTGAGATAAGTGAAACAAAAGTTTTGATTAGTACTAAAAAAAGCCCTTCAAACAATGACGAAATATTTCTCACATGATCCGCAAATTGCTTGGTCCTAGAAGGATATAAGATTTTGAATTGAAGGTTGTTCCACATGTAAAACTCCTGTAAATACTCACTTTAACGGGCGTAACTGCTCCTAGCAGGCGCCAGTCCCAATTGGCGGGGACCTTCGACAAGTCGTACTTGCTCTTATCGAAAGTCATGGCGCCATTGAAGGTGGTGTTGCTGTTCTGGCGGCCACGCAGCACGCGCAGCTCATCGTCCGATCGGTCGGCCAGGTGGTTGATGCCCACCTTAAAGCTGAAGGACCGTCGGTTCTCCGACATGACGTAGCGGTAGTTGTGCAGGTAGTTCTTTGCGCGAATGCTCAGCTCGTCTTTGCCCACATAGGACTTGTTGTGCTTCGCCATAAACTCATCAAAACTCTGGTCAATGTGCGTCCGGTCGCCGTGAATAAACTCACGCATCGGGTTCATCAGGGCGACATTCTGGTGGCCAGGGCCGGGGAAGCCGGTGCACTTGTAGGGCATGTAGATGTCAAAGACCTTCGGGTCAATGGGTCCGGTCTTGTAGGAGCCCAGATCGTAGATGACCTCGTACTTGTCGTAGTGCGAGCCGAGCAGTGAGTCGTAGCCGAACATGAGGTAGTATATGGGAATGGGCTGGTTCTGGCTGTCTCGTCGCAGAATGAACAGATACTTGTTCTCCTTCTGTCCGTAGGTGACTCGGTACTCCCAGGCCTCGCAGTCGCCCTCCGCCTGCACCTTACTCGACAGCTTTCGGCAGACGCCCTTTGCCTTCAGCTGAAAATTGCTCAGATCAGGCAGAACGCCCTGCACAGAGACCGGCGACAGTGTGGTGCCTGTATTGAATTGAATTTCAGTACACAATCCTTTCCTTTTCATCAAGAAAGACTTACCGGCCATGTTGAAGCAGACTCGCACTGCATCGCCATCACCGTTGACCATATAGGCGAGCTTGTAANCTGCACTGACACCGGCGACAGTGTGGTGCCTGTATTGAATTGAATTTCAGTTTAAAATCTTTTCTTTTTCATCAAGACTTACCGGCCATGTTGAAGCAGACGCGCACTGCATCGCCATCGCCGTTGACCATATAGGCGAGCTTGTAGAACTGATTAATGTCCGGTCGCTGGACGGTCTGCATCAGGTCGTCGTAGTAGTCGATGCGGCTCTTGTTGGCATCGGCGCTGTAGTACGCAGTAAAGGGCTCCACAATCTCCGCATATGGGAGCAGAATTTGACCCGTCACCACATAGTTAGTGCTGAAGACAGGCGTCTCCGCAGAGACGAGGAGGCCTGCAAAGGAAGGTAATGAGAATTCCGAAAATCGTCACCGAAAATATCATCGTCTTACCTTGAAAGGCCAAAAGTAGAAGGGCAGTCAGTCGCATTGTGTGCCGTCTGTCAGCACAACTGGAAGAAGAAGAGAAGCAGCAAAAGAGAGCAATGTCGGCGTCAGAGCGTCACTGGTGTCACTTTATATCAATCAGCCTACGTCCCTTCACTCCTATCACCGTGGAGCGCGCTTTTTGTGAGGTTGAAGAACGCTGGCAAAGACGAGACAGTTATCGATGGCAGATTAGGCGATTGGCAGGACAGCGCACTACACTTGTCACTGCGCCAGTTACGTTCAAACACTGTTTGAGTCACACAAGCACGCACAGATCACAGCCTATCTCAGAGAGAGCAATTGACATTTGCATTATCAGTGACTTTATTATTGGTCAAGCCAGCTCAAGTGAGTCTCAAGTGATTGCTGCTGCTGGTGGTGATTAGATCAGGGCTTAGAGGGTGACTTGCGTTCAACAGAAACTAAAAGTGTTTTATCAAGTGATGCACTGCAGCTCCTAGAGCCTTTTAAGCATCATTCAGACGAACTCCAAAGCGCAGCTTTGCCGATCTCGAGCGTGGATTCAGATTGACCTCATTCTCGCTTGGGTAGATGATTCTCGTCTGGTAGAACTTCCACGTCTTTCGCTCCCTCTCGATGACCGGCTCCAGGTCAGGGCGCTCGTAGGCGATGGTGTTCTTTTCCGCCTTGGTGGGCTTCAGTCCTACGAACTTTCCCTTGACGATCTTATCCTCAAGTGAGTGGAACGAGATGACGCCCAGCAGTCCTCCCTTGGCTCTCTCCTCAGTGACCAGGTCGTTGTCGTCATCAGTCTGCGGGTGCTCACTGCGCTTTAGGTAGCGAGACACTGTGTCGATGCCGTGGCTGATTTCGTTCATTTCATTATTAACAAAAATTCGCAACGCCTGGAAGACCTTTGTGGCAGGGTGAGCACTGCGCCCCAGCTGGTCGTACCGTTCGCCGCCGAGAACGTTAGCGACTAGTGTGGCCAGCTCCTGTGTCGTCCTCAAGCTCTTCATCATGAAGCGAGAGTCAATGATAGTCTGCGCCACCTTCATGGCGTACTTCTCTTCGCCATATGTCTTGAAGATCTTTGCCAGCTCTTCGGCGCCTAACGTGTTGACCACATCCGCCGCTGTGGGCATGTTGGGAAATCGATCTGCGTCCATTCGCATGTCCAGTGGCCCGTTTGCCCGCAGGGAGAACCCTCGGGGACCTTCTTCAAATTGAAAAGACGAGGCGCCCAGATCCATGATGGCGCCATCCACAAAATGTTTAGGCACTTTGAGTTTACCCATCAGCGTCGACAGTTCGCTGAATCGCCCCAACAGAGGAATAACCTTCTGACCGTTCTCCTTGGCATCAACATCTTTAGCGAGTACGATGGCTCGCTGAAAGGCGGCTGGATCTCGATCAAGTGCAAATATGGTTATTTTCTTGTGTGTACTCAGCAAGTACTTCGTGTGTCCACCACCGCCAAAGGTCATGTCAATAAAGTACTGGCCATCACGGGGCTCCAATATCTGCGTTATTTCCTTGGCCAGAACAGGCAGATGCTTTATTTTATCGACGCTCTTCTCTTCAGCCAGTGGCTTGAAGTGTGTCCACAGCGGCCTAAAGAGTTTCATGGTGGCCTTTAGATGATCAAGTTGATGGAAAACCCAAAAGTCCACGCAAATCAACAAAACACAAAACGGGTCACGTGGTTCTCATGCTCACGCAAGCCCACTTCAGACAGTGCAAGTATGAACGTAAACAGTAGCGCGCTGTAAACATTTATCCCGCTTCGTACATCAGAATGGCTTTATCTCTAAAGCAGGTGTTTTTCAGGTCATTTGCACACAAACTAACACAGGTAATCATTATGGAGTGATTGTTCACGTGCAGTTTAATAATTGTACCCCATCTGTAGCATCAATGCCGTCACTTGGGTACGGCAAAGCCACAAGGGAAGCTGCCAAAGAAGCTACCGATTGCCGGCGTGAAGAAGATAGTTTTGGTATCATCGGCCAAAGGAGGTGTTGGCAAGTCCCTGGTCAGTGTAAACCTTGCGTACGCCATTAAACACGTTCACCAGAACCTGCAAATTGGCATACTCGATGCCGATCTGTTTGGGCCATCGCTGCCAAAAATGACCGGCCTCAGTGGCCAACCAGAACTAAACAAACGTAAGAACGTGCTCAATTTCATTTAAATTCAGTTGATCTAACTCTATTATTCCTTTTCAGAAAATATGATGCTTCCTCTAGTGAACTATGGCGTCAAGTGCATGTCAATGGGTTTTCTCGTCGAAGAAGAGAATCCAGTCATTTGGCGTGGTCTCATGGTAATGTCCGCTCTGCAAAAGCTGCTTCGTTCAGTCAACTGGGGAGAGCTGGACATTCTCGTCGTCGACATGCCACCTGGAACGGGCGACACACAGCTTTCCATCGTCCAAAATATTCCCATCGACGGAGTACTGCTCGTAACGACACCTCAACAAGTAGCTCAGGCGGACGTCATTAGAGGAGCAAACATGTACCGCAATCTCGAAGTGCCTATCCTCGGTCTGGTGCAGAATATGAGCTACTACAAGTGCTCAAACTGTTCACATAATCATCATCTTTTCGGCCCTGATAGTGGCTCAAAGTTGGCGCAAAAGTTGGACGCCGAACTAGTGGCCGATATACCGATTTTGCCTGAACTAAGCACGTGCTCTGATGATGGTTGTCCAATTGTGGTTAAAGATCCACAATCAGATGGTTCTCAGGTGTTTCTTAGATTAGGAAGCAAAGTTGTTGAAAAGTTAAAAATGTAGAAAGAATAAAAGTAAAAGTGCAATGCTATTCAGATGTTTACATGTTGCAGTGATCAGAAGTGTACATCGTCGGATCAGAAATCGCTTCTTCAACAGACCAGACCGCCGCCACCGCAAAGGTGGCAGCAGTCTGTTTGAATATTGATCAACTATTCAGATATCTATTCTTTCATCACTTCCGACATTAGATGTGTGTTTGATCATTCACTTGCAATCACGTGGACATTGCTGTCAATCATTGCGGTGTTCTCGTCATTTCAGCCTGCCCAAACAGAGTCCAAACAGGGCCGATCAAATAAGATCAAAGATAGTTCTGATTAGATAGGATAGGATAGAGAAAGGATAGA